CGTCACATTAAAAAAAATAACTACACATTTTTAGTATTAGTATTATCAATCAATAAAATAAAAATCAACACTAATATTTTAAATAAACAGTATCAACTAATAATGTAAGAAAGTCAACATTAACATTTCAAAAAATCCTAAATTGATATTTGTAATCACATTAAAATAATATTACAGTAACTGCTCAAAGTTACTTCCTTGTTCTTAAACGCAAGCATTAGTTCTTCGAAAATGAAAATGAATTTTATCCAATAATTGTGCATTACCTCTCATAACACTAATTTCATGTTGTATTCTTTCACATTATGTTTTCTGTATTTACTGAAAAGTTATAAACTGTGGACCGCGACGCTTCCCAAAGGAAATAATTACATGGGTTTAGGTCCGGAGATCGAGGTGGCCATTTTAAAGGGACATTATTTCCTATACCTATCCACCTGTTAGTATAGTAACCTGTAATAACTGGTCTTTTAATATTCTATTAACGGAACTTTTTGAAAGCCAATCTCTGCCGCTAAAGGCCTTTTATTTACTTACGGAATTTCTTTCCAAAATTTGTTCGTCGAGCTGAATAGTTCCGGCCGTACATTATCCACGGTTTAATGTTACAGTTAAAAGTTGTGATTTGGAATTCTTCGATTAGGAAAACTCAGCATATGTTCGAATAGTAGCACAACAATTTCCTTCACAATACCCCAAAACTAAACATATCAGTTTGTTCAGCAAAAGTATAAATTGCAGTAAAAAACAAAGTAAACTAAAATTAAATCACAGCTTAGCTTGACACTGAACCTTTTAATTATTGTTATGAATTTGTTTCTTTGTTATATGGCACCTCGTACTAGACTGTTTTATTTATCTTAAACTAATTTTATATTATAAATATATAAATTTTACTCGAAATCCATAAACGATATCAAAATTTTGTAAGAGGCAAAAAATCTTCTAAAATAGTGCTTATTTTTAAAAATACAAATTCTATCGTCATTGACGAACACACAAAACTCCTGTATATGTATTATTACCAAATTCTATATTTACATTGCCCTTATATAAAAAACTATGTATACCAAATTTGAAGTTTCTAAGAAAAACGGTTTTCAAATTGTTTGATAAAAACTAGGTTATGTGTTCTATATTTTATATCTCAGTAGGCGTGCATTTTTGTAAACTATTCAACTTACCGATTCCAGATTTCGTGTGAGTTATTAGACAGTGATAAGGAATGAGAGGATGCTATGCCAAAACGTTTATAAATGTTTAATTCAAAAGTCATAAATAAACTTATTCTGTTTATAACTTTTGATCTAATCAATATGTTTTGACGCTCGAGGGCTAGTTTTGTAGGTCTTTTGAAGACGAAAAAAAGTACTTTACTGTTTTCTCGTGGAAATGAACGGAAAAAAGTTATAAGCGAANTATATGGCACCTCGTATTAGACTGTTCTAATTATCTTAAACTGATTTTATATTATTTAATGTGTAAAATATATAAATTTTACTCGAAATCCATAAACGATATCAAAATTTTGTAAGAGGCAAAAAATCTTCTAAAATAGTGCTTATTTTTAAAAATACAAATTCTATCGTCATTGACGTACACACAAAAAAATTAAGGGAAAGCCAGTGGCGCACAGGCACTAGAAAGAGAACATCCTGTATACGTATTCTCACCAAATTCTATACTTACATTGCCCTTATATAAAAAAAATATGTATACCATTGAAGTTTCTAAGAAAAACAGTTTTCAAATTATTTGAAAAAAAAAATATATCTCAGTAGACGTGCATTTTTGTATACAGGTAACTTAGGCTAAATAGTCTTATTTTCATCCAAGGAACCTGTGATCAAGCGTTGTCCATCCTTTTCAGGGACACCCTGTATATAAAAACTTATATACAAATTTCTATATCCTCTGGGAACTGCAAAATCTAAATTTATTTAAATACTTGGAATGATTTATGACAACGAGTTTCATGAGAGCAACAATAAAAATAAAAAACATATTCTATCAATACTTGTATTTTACCTAATATTTTTTAATTTTATTTGTTTCAGAACTTAGTTCTATCAATTTTTTTTTTTGTAAATTCAAATGATTTTTTTATATAGTTTTGTTTTTAAATTAATTTAGGGATGAATGGAATAAACGAAAAATAAAAACCAACTAAATTTAATAGGTATGTATTTTTAAGATCTGGTTATTCTACATAGTAACAGTCATTTATTAATAGGATAAAAATATAATTAATTAGTTAATAAATCATACACACATAGCCGTCAAACCCATAAAAGCCTTTACGCTAAAATTTAAAAGCAATTCGTGACATAAGTTAAGAAACCATTAAATTGAACAAGATCGCTTAACAAAGTAGGTGAGTTACTTCTCTAATCTAGGTTAAAGACATAAGACTTAAGCATTAATAACATCGTCTCTAATTAGTTGTATAAATATTATTATTCTCCGATAATCGTTATTTGCTATTAAAAATTTTAAAAACCTCACAAATTTGCGCTATTCGAGACAGTTTAATTAATTTCAGATTTCTATTGACCTAAACTTATAGCAGTATGTAACGCTGTTGTGACTATAGTTCAGATCTACATGCTGATTTTCACAACTTTCCAGCGTAGGTTGGATTTTTCGATGTGGAAGTGGCTTGCTTCTATACTGGATTTTCCCACTGAAAGTAGATTTATTTTATTATACTACCTTTTAAAATTTCGAAAAGTGAAAGTCAAGTAAAAAGTTACAATAATCCATAAAAATTATAGAGTAAGCATTACCACAATTATGTATGTGAATGTAAGAACGTACTAGAAACTTTTAAATGATAGATATGCAGAAACAAAGATGGTATGACGCAAGTATAACAAAATTGATGAAAAAAGCAACAGCAACAATAGTAAGGTGAATAATCAATTTGTGCTTATTAAGTATTTGGAAATTTATCATAACTAGACATCGGAAACTTTGTGGTGACAGTCAGATAAATAAATAGTAGTAAATTATATTATGCTAGTAGGCGGCAATACCTGGTGTAGTAGCACAATACGCTAAATCTGTGGTCCAGTCGTGTGCCGCTCTATACTCACAATACACAATGATACTGAATGCCATAAAACACGTGCCATACACTCGACCAAGCAAAACGTCAAACTCGAGTGAGTTTGACGTTTTGCTCCCACACCCACAAACGACAATAAAATACAAGGCCAACGTCTCAGCAAAAAAACCTAGATTGTTCACCGGCACTCCAAGCGCACAAGGCAGGCATTAGGGTGCCGCTAAATACGCATCGAATAAATTGATCGATGCGAAGCTTCAGATCAGATGTAGACATATAAGTACATATTATTGAACAATGACGCGGATAGTGGGATCACTAAAATGTAAAGTTCTTAATAAAGTAGCATATATTAAAAACTTCGGCTATTTTAAATATGCGCCTGTGACCTCGATAAATGTCGAACGGTTATTTTCGTTTTTAAAATGGAGAAACAGTACACTTATAGGAAAATCACAGTAGACATGCTGACCTATGACAAGCAAATTTCCCCAAATTTGTTCTAGTAATGAATGGGGCAACTTTTACTCGCATGAATAATTTCCAAAACAAACAAGTTATTTGGCAAACAAATTTTCAACAAAAATTTTCTCTACATGTTTGCGTTGATATTATTAACGGTATATTTACCGACTCTTTTATATTTCCAAACCAAATGACTGGTTTAGACTATACAGTGTAGGAAAGTACCGATGGTCTATCAGAAGTTACGTGAGAGCGATAAAGTAAGCCATAGAAATCCATGTGATAGACAAGGATGGCTACAATGAAGGCGTCTAATCGTCAACGCCCATTTCGCCCTTCCACAAATAAGAAGTGGATCTTATTTGTGGAAGGGCAAAACGGGCGGTGACAAAGAGAAGCCTTCATTATAGCCATCCTTCTCTATCGCATGGATTTCTATGGCTTACTTTATCGCTCTCACGTAACTTCAGATAGACCATCGGTACTTTCCTACCCTGTATATACCTTTCACAGAATAACTTGTTTGAATTATTTAAAGATGCGCCCTTAAATATAAGACAAATCCATTAATTTTTACACAACAGTATTCTACCTCATTTTAAACGTAAAATGTGGAATTATCTAGGTAATAAATTTTCCAGCAGGTGGGTAGACCGCAAATAGACTAATATTGTGTCCGCCAAGATTGCCAGTTTGTAATTCGTCTGATATTCAAGTGGGGTTATAGTTTATTGCATAAAACTAAAGTGAACACAGTGAAAATGTTCTTTTTTAACAGCGTACAACGTATTATGGATTTATCTAAATTAAAAGATTTCGTTGTATCTTCATTATGTTTGAGTTTTCACGAAAATGATATTTGAAAAATTAAAAACTTTCTTTTCTTTTCCAATATAGAAAACATCCCTTATACAAATTTTCTTTGAAACCAATGACAAATCTACGAAACCTATTGAGGTAAATCTAAATTTAGAGGTTCAAAAAATAATTACAGGATGAAATTTAGTTTTAAATAATACATCATTAAAATTCAACAAATTCAATCATTAGTAAAATCTAGTTATTAATACTAATCTTTAAATCTGACACAAAAAAAAATTGAAGGAATTTTTATCGGGTAAACGAAACTTCCACTTTTTGTCTACATCTACATTTTCTTTAGAGGTAATCCTAAATGAACAGCTCCAGAAAAATAATTACATTCGATGTGGGAAAGTTTACAATAAATAAAGCCAATTTTATTGAAATACAGAGAATTATAATGATATTTATGACACTGCCCAACCGAAACCATTTATAGGACAATAATTTAAAAGAATATAAACAATATAATGTTATATCCTAGAGATAATGTTGTACAAAATGTAAAATGAATAAAAATGTATCAGCGAAGATAAATTACTTCAAGAGAAAATCAACATCAATCTGTTTAGTAATATTTAACAAAGTTGACAACCTACAAGCATTTATATCACAATAATTAGAGATGTTATTAAAATTAGACATCATCGGAACTTTAAGTAATGTTAATATAGTAAGCGGAGGGACATTTAAATGTTATTGCGTGACGAGAATTCAATCTGGGTAAATAAAAATGAATCTGAGAAAGTAACAATGGACATCAGTACGAACTTAAAATTCAATATTTAGTAAGATCTAGTTAACATTAACTTAAAAAACCTGTACTTTGTTTTTAAATCTACCAAAACCAGTTTGCACAAATTCTAAAAATTAATAATTATACTATAGGCAAAATTAGGCAGTAGAATTTAAAGCTAACAAAAAAAAAACGATAAATTCTTATTACAGACTAACAAAAATAATGCCGCAATACGAGATTAGCTTCAACCGTTCGTTACAAAAACATACATAGGAAAGTCGTTTCAGCGTCCCGACGTCTCTGCGTCTGCATGAAATGTAACCCTTTAGTGTTTAAATTCTCGAAAACCTCTGAAAGCATCTATTATAAATACATTTTATATGCGTGAGCCGTTGCCTCAGAATGACTTTCGCATTCACATAGGTATATTGTTGGCTTTGTTATCATGCGGATGTTGCGTAATTAATTACTAACAGATGGTAGTGATTTGTGGACAATTTAATTTGTTGCTTTTTAATAAATAATGTGTACGCCTATGTCCCGCGGCTCAATTCTGACAGCCCCAATTATAAATGATATTTAGCACTGAACAAGTCAAATCGCAAAAGACTATTTATTAAAAATGATATTATATCGCTGTAAGTGGATTAATAACTCCGTACTTAAACTCTTTTTAGTAAAATAAAAGCAACTGCAGACTTACGGGACTTTTCTCACAGAATTCGCCAGTGTACCGTCCCTTTCTGACATAATCGCAGACACATTGGCCACAGTCGCAGATTCCGTGGCCAGAACATATGACGTTATTATCCGAACCTGGAGGGTAACAGTTGGCTGTGGATGTTTGGCAGGCGCAGTTGGAACCCATCCATCCGTCCTTGCAGAGGCATTTGCCACATTCGCAAGTTCCATGGTCACCGCAGAGTTTACCATTATATCGTTCACATGAAAAATTATCGCACTCGCAGAAGGAACCATAAATTTTCTGGAAAACAATTTTTTTGTTGGTACATTTTCACAATTTGTTATTTGACTGTTTTGGAACCTCTGATTATTTGAGCATTTGAAACATTAAAGTCGAAAATTCCAAGGCAAAGGTGCATATTATTAATTTCTATAAATAAATATTCAATTGCTGGTTTACCTAACAATTTTCTAACAATTTGAAAATTTTTAGCCTTGAATCCAGTGACCGCCAAACACTTTTTCAAAAAAGAATTCTTGCTAAAAATCACCTACCTCATTGTCGTTTCTGCGTATTTCGCATTCACAGCGTCCGCAAAAGCACTGTCCTCTGCCGGAACATTCGCGACCAGTGGGGTTCCTGGGATTAGTAGTACAGTCCATTATGCTGTAGGTTTCTTCAAAGCTACATTCACATCTCGGTCCAAAAGCTCCAGATGTACATTCGCAGATGCCACATTTGTATGTACCGCGATGCGAACAAAATGAAGAATTCTGCTTGTAGTCCTAAAAAGAAATAATTTGAAATAAAAAAAAATCATTCTAGAACTAATATACATTGTATCCTGGTTTTTCGCAGTCACATTCACACAACATCTCCAAGTCGATGATTAAACTTTCATCTATACCGACTGGGTAAATGCTGATTGTTTGGAATTGGTCTGCACGGTTTTTGGGACACTTGAGTACTTCAATATCAATTTTGAAATGAATGAGATCTCCAACCTAAAAAAGAAAATAGGAATTCAGACACAAAAACTGGAAGGAAAATCGTTTTCTTACCCTTATATTTTCACATTTGTTAGTATTCACCAAAGCACCAGTGGAGTTCAAACACCGACTGTAGAATTTAAGGTTGACGTCACTTGAAGCATTGTGTTTCATTTCGACGGTTGAAGAGAACTGATTATATTGCTCCTTTATGAGTTCTACGATATTGGAAGTGTCATCTTCCAGTTTACCAACGGACGCCCCTTCTATATTCCTAGCGAGCTGCTCATAAAAACTAATAGTGCTGTTGGTAATAGCAAAGATTACGTTGATATTATTCTTTTTTACACTGAGATTTATCTGTTCGATGGAAGGATAGTCTTGGTAAGATGACCGAGTGTAATAACCTTCGTGCGATAAGTGACAGCTGCCATCATTTGGTTTAACTTCATCACCCAGCTACAAAAAAGTCGCGCAATGAGAAAGAAGATTACAAAACTCTTTTATGTCGCGCTTCTACCTTTCCATCTCCGGCAAAGTGAAAACTGGCGTCTGTAGAAAATACAAGAAATTTTCCAGCCTTGTCTCTCCAACCTATTTGATCCTTACATACTATAGCTTGCATAATGGCATCGAAACCTCTTTCTGAGATATCTACAGTTCCAGAAACGTTAGCTTGCTTCACCATGTGCTATTGAAAAAAGTTAGGACCTGTGATACTGCAATGAAGAATTTTAAAATGTTTTATAACTACTGTTTGTCATTTTCCAAGTGTTTGGTATCTCAATGTCATCAGTATAAAACATTTTAAAATAGTTATTTTCCTAACAGTGCGCAGTGTTATTTTTCCGCAAGCAAATACAGTTAGTTTAATAAGTTTTTGCGTGCGGAAATGGCACTCTACGCATGTGTTAGGAACAAAACTTTTCCTACAAACTTCATATCAGAATCTAGAATTTTCCAAGATGGTGAGGAACGACGGAAACTATGTTCTATATACTGCTGTTCAATTATAGATATGCAGTTATTTCCGAAGGCATTTTACCGAATGAATTTATTCCAACACATTGAGTATTGCATGCTCCTTGTCTATAGTGCACAAAAGAACGCCTGTGCGGAGTGCATGTTTTCGCATGCATATTTATGATAGAGTTGTAAATAATGTCCCTTATTTGTTTCATTGGATACTACAAAGATTCTTGAAGCATTGTTTTTACTGTCAGGGATTTTGACAACTTAAATTTCTTTCATTCTCTATGTGATCGTCTTACAAAGTTCATCGTGCCTACAAGCACCGGCCAACCCAAAAATGGTAGCGAGTTTTATTAGAAGGTAAACTTCACATTTGTCAAAAATTTTAGCCTTTTTCGGACGGTATCCCACATTTTGCTTTTTAAAAACGATGTTAAACTTAAATCTAAGTTTTGGCTGAAATGATGGCAAAATAGGCTAGGAACACCACCCCCTTGATACTATTTGTCCCATTGTTGCGGCACCAGTATTCAAAATGTTTAATTGATAATATTGTTTAATAATAATTATTATATACAATAAATTAAGTTCAAATTAATTATTATTATTAAATACATCCTAAGGAACTTGGCCACTATAACTTAAAAGTTACGAATCCTAAACTTGCTATAAATGTTTCTAAGGTACCAATTCTTCAAAAACTGTATTACAAATTTTTAGGTAATATTATTCAAAGAAAAGTTCAAATTCTTCATGCACAAGTACAAATTGATTATGTAAATGTGTAGAATTGCCTCATTTTTCAACATTAATTTTGAACAAATTAAATATAAAATAAAGTGTGTTATGTCAAATACCTAACCTAACCTAACATACTTAAATAATAATATGATAATTTTGCCACTTGTACATATTTTGGAGCATATGGGACAAGCAATAAGCAGCAATAAACAATTTTATTTGATCCGTTTTTTCTACTTCATATGTTTATTCCCGTTAAAGCCAAAGCAATTCTCTATTATTGAAATGCGTAACGTATATTAATAACAGACTTGTTACTTGTACCAATAAGTTGTTAATAAGCAGTTAAGTTTGTTAATGGATTTTCTCATGCAGGCCGAGAAAAATTAGTTGATAACATAGTCACATGTTTGACGCCGTAAGATGCTGCACCACTCTGACACTGATATATTAAAATATAACTATTTAATAGAACCTAACATCTACGAGGGTGGTCTGAAAAGTTTCCGACTTCAACATGAAGATGGCAGCACTCGTAAATAAAAACTAGTGAATTTCGTTGTTCATCTATTGACAGTTACTCACCAAAGTTTCAGTCATTTTGGACGCGTAGTTGTTATGTAACAGTCGTTTGAGTGAGTTGATGTGTTTTTATGAAAATGGACAAAATCGAGTATCGAGCTGTCATTAAATATTTGTTTTTGAAAGGCAATACGTCTACGCAAATCAAAGATGAGTTGGATTCTGTGTATGGGGACTCTGCACCATCATTTACCACAGTGAAATTTTGGGCAGCTGAATTTAAACGTATCCGTAAGAGCTTGGAAGACGATGAACGTTCGGGACGTCCAAAAACTGCAACTGCCGACGAAAACATCGCCAAAGTTCACCAAATGGTGCTAGATGACCGCCGAATTAAAGTGAGAGAGATAGCAGAGGATATGAACATGTCAAAAGAACGCGTTTATCACATATTAAATCAACATTTCAACATGAGAAAGCTGTCCTCGCGTTGGGTGCCGCGTTTGCTCACGTTAGACCAAAAACGTGTTCGAATGAACTGTAGATGAAACTTGAATACAATATTATACGCCCGAAACAAAAATACTGTCCAAACAGTGGACTGCAAAGGGGGAACCGGCTCCAAAAAAAAAGCAAAAACTGTTTTTTCGGCTGGGAAAGTGATGGCGACTGTTTTTTGGGATAGTCATGGAGTTATTTTAATCGATTATCTTCAAAAAGGAAAAACCATTACAGGAGCATACTACGCATCATTACTTGACAAGCTGAAGGCAGAACTTGCGGAAAACGGCCACATTTGCAGAAAAAGACACCAAGACAACGCACCGTCTCACACCTCAGCGGTCACCATAGCGAAAATCCACGAATTACGGTTTGAATTGCTTGACCATCCGCCTTACTCACCGGATCTAGCCCCAAGCGACTTCTTTTTGTTCCCTCATCTAAAAATTGCGCTCGGTGAACAGAGATTTTCGTCAAATGAAGAGGCAATCACCTTCGTGAACAATTATTTTGCAGAGAAAAACGCCGAGTACTATTTGGACGGGTTACAGAGATGGGAGCATCGCTGGGAGAAGTGTGTAGAGTTATAAGGAGACTATGTTGAAAAATTTAAAAAAAAATTTGAAAAAATGCCTTGTATCTTTGTTAGGTCGGAAACTTTTCAGACCACCCGGTTCCACTATCGTAATACTAGTCCCGAGTGTCGAAAATTCACCACACTTACCATTCGGAACTGCAAAGCCGGAAAAAACGCATGAAATTAAATCCATCCTCACTGGAGTCGAGGATGACGTCCCAAAAGACCTACGCCCCAGCGCGGCGGGAAATTGAAAATTTCAACTATTTTTCCAAAATTCTGTCGTCACGCTCCTTCCAGAACGAATTTCGGAAACAAAAATTTTCCGAATTTTATGAAATTCGGACTTAATAGAAGTCAACCCTCTGTCCATCATCAATCTAGTCAATTCAAAAGAGTATCGAAATCCTAAGATGTCGAAAACTAATGACGCTGAATCCAGTCAGGGCTAAGGGAGCCGCCTTAAACCGAAGCCAGCAAGAGAACCCACCCGCGGAGAAAGTATCGACAGATATATAACCAGGGACGGAATCCAGGCCAGTGTTAGTACACAATCAAAATTGTTTGATTTCTGTATTGTATAACTTTACGCTTTTGTACATGAACATTATTGTCTATTTTTATGCCCGAAATAATAAATCAAATATAAAAATTTTCTTTAAAATTTTTGAGTTTTCAAAAAATCACAAACTCGAGTAAGATTTTCTCTACAAAAAATCACAAACCCCAGATAGATTCCAAAAAATCACTCTTGCAAGCCCTTTAGCTCCGCTCTTCAAGCAATCCGCTTAGGTCCGTCGTCCAATTAGATCTAAAATCAAACTTTGTAGTGCCTAACCCACACAAAAGACCATAGATTCTTAGAACTTGAAGTACTTGATAAAATACTGAGATTTTGTAGAATCAGTGCTAAAAAAACTGTACAGGGTTAGTCGAAACCCTAGAACTTGAACTCATACAGGGTCAGTTGAAACCCTGCTTGAACTAACAAAGCAAGTGAAGTGCAACATCCTGTGTCTTGAATCAAATTAGAGCGTAGACCATCTACCTTAGCAGACCAACAACCTCACCATCAATGGAGGACGAGCGAAGGTCTCAGAGCCGTCTACCCCTGTCAGCTCTTCGGTGTATCGTCAAGGAAGAGGCGCAGGAGCCAACTGGAAACCCCCTTATAGGCAGGAGACTAACCTCCCAGCACCATTGATGAAGAAGGAGCCAGATTGTTCCATCCGACACTTTCCAAATTCTATAGGGTGAGCGTGAAAGGCTTCTGCCCTAAAGAGTCACGCTGCGTGGCGCGACTCAGTTCGATTCGCCACCACCCGAAGACGTACCGGCAAATCAACCCGATTCGGTAGCCAATCGCGTTATTCCACGACACCACCGCACCGTCAGTGGGATACAAACAAACCGCATCTGCAACTTATTGCTGTCTTTATTTAAGCATACTGTATTTTTGTCAACAAAACAAGACATAATGCCAGAACTTTTTAAAATTTCACTACCGAGATTTTGTAAAACGGTTATGAGGAGATACTGGCAATAAAAAATAAATTGAATAATTTTCTCTGTTCACTTTACTTTTAAGTTTTGGCCTTGTATCAAAATAGAAGTAGCAACTATTAAACTCAAAATAGAATATATTGATTTCAGCGCAACTGATTTACTTTGCTATAAAATTTAATTTTTTTAAGGACGTATATAAAAAGATCAAGATCTTACTCTTCTACTTATGCACATGCCATCTCACTACACCGAAATCTATACAAATTATTAATATTAATCATACCAATTCCATCATTCCAGAACACATGCGTATCTCAAAATGTATACAAGATATACAAGAAGAGTCTAAGTAACACCCAGACAGACACATCAAATATTTTCTTTATACATAAGTATATAAAATGCATTATTTTTAAGCAAGTTTCTAAGTCACAGCAACTACATCGGACACTATTGAAATAAAAATATGGAACAAAATAAAAAAATAAGTTCAACAGTGTGTCCGATTTGCTTTACTTTGTGAGCTACATGAATTTGAAATTTAAATGTAAAAAGTAATAATCAAATTTGTTGCGTTACGTCTCGGCGCGCTACGCATTGGTCAAGTGTGCTCTGACGACATTTGCAAGGTAAAATGGCCTTTCCCAAATCGTCGCATTCCATCCCCGAAAACGTTTACCACAACTTTTCATGCACTCAGAGAAACTGGTTCACTTCCAAGTGTTCGCATTCACTACGAACGGGTAAGTCAGCAGAGTGTTGTAGAAGAAGAGAATATCCTTGCTATGGCCGAGCGTAATCCCGGTGTTAGTACACGACGGATATCCACGCCTTTAGTGATTCCCAATACCAGGGTATGGAGAACATTAAACAAGAATCTGTTGTATCCATACCATCTACAGCGTGTTCAACATCTGGAGCCAGAAGATTTCCCTAGGCGGGTAGAATTTTGTCAGTGGTTGAATAATAATAGGAATTTGTATCGCTACATCTTATTTACGGATGAGTCACAATTTACCAGAGACGGTATCAACAACACCCATAACATGCATCAATGGTCGGACGTCAATCCTCATGCCACCGTAGAAAGTAATTTTCAACGTAGATTTAGCGTTAATGTGTGGTGTGAAATGTTATACGATCAACTTATAGGGCCATTTATTATTAAAGGTCGTCTTAATGGACCAAAGTATCTACAATTTTTAGAGGAAGAACTCCCGCGATTGCTTGAAGATGTACCTCTGGCAAGACGATTAAGAATGTGCTTGCAACATGATGGAGCTCCACCTCATATTTCCCGAATTGTCACTGCTCATAAATGAGCATTACTCTGGTCGCTGGATCGGTCGAGGTGGGCCACACATTTGGCCAGCTAGGTCTCCAGACCTCAATCCGTTAGATTACAACATGTGGGGTTGGATGAAGGATTTGGTTTATCAAGAGAAAGTGGAAACACGCGAAGCTCTAATCCAAGGAATTGTTAATGCTGCAACGCAAATAAAAGAAAAGCACGCGAATATTAGAAATGCAACGCGAGCAATTCACAGGCGTGCTGACAAATGTATTGAAGTAGGAGGTGGGATTTTCGAAAACCTTAAATTAAGAATGTATGTATCACTATTACCGATGTTCTAAAAATAAAAATGAAAATTAATTTCCATTATTTTTATTTTCAAATTCGTGTAGCTCAATAAGTAAAGCAAATCGGACACATGTTTATATGAACTTTTTTCCTAGAAATAACCCAAGGAACATCCTTTATGAGTGCCGGGAGAACTTTATGAAACACCCGGTATTGTGGTAAGTATTAATACTAAAGACAAAGTTAAACTTGATGTGACTTCAAAGTATCACAAACGACTAAATATAGAAAAAAAATTATTGCGTGTTTTCAACCATGACACAACTATCGAATCATATTTGATATATGTCTTGAAAACTGAATGTATCATCAGTTTTTTGTATTTGTGAAGGTTTCTTAGATACCCTGGAATCCCATAAACTTAACTCAATCTGTACAATGTTTCTAAAATTTCGTTTTTTTTATTTTGGATGAACGAAGAAAAGGCAACCACTGTATATTGAAAGATCCGTTACCATAACGGAATAAATGAATTTTTAACGAAAAAGATGTAGTTGCTCTTCAGAAAGAAACCTTTATATCTAAGAGAATGGGAAGGGAACAGGGCCGTGTTAATGAATAAAATTTGACTAAGGGACTTACTGAAAACATCTGCGTATTATTGCTAAGAGTCATATGGTGGCGAAATCCATAGGGAGTTTCTTGTTCGCAGGAATTGCATAACCTAAAGTAGCCAACAAAAAACTTTAAAAAATACATCACTACGTTCATGACTTCGATCTTTCGGGGACAAATAGTTGTGACTAGAAAATTACAATTCGTTTAAAAACGTGGGTAAACAAAACCGTTTTGCATTGTCAAAATAAACGTATTCCAATGTTATCTGACAAAATAAATGTATATTTCAACGTTATCTGTCAGATAAACATGTTTTAAATGAATAACTAAATTAACTTTATTAACTGCTTGCTTCTACTCTACTACTATAAAAACTATTATAAAATTAATATACTTATATTCAAAACTTTCTGAGCAATTACACATACTCACTTATTACCAACACTGCCCAAGCCCAGCTTGAAATTCGATGTAATATCTTTCACTGTAGTAGCCAGCTGATCACCGAGGGTGTACAGTTTGTTCTTATCGTCCTCCATAGACTTACTAAGGTCCATTAGGTAATAAAGATCAACAGGATAGTCTTCGGCTTGGGAGTAGTACATCCTGACGCTGTATGTTTCTCCTAACAAAGAAAAAAATTAGAGAAGAAAAAAGAAACGAAAAAATTAGATCTACAAGGTTCCAAAACAGAACAGTGAGACTAGAAAAATAAATGTACCATCCACATACTATTTTTCCTCAAGTTCAAGACCAATACTCTTCGAGATATGCAGCATGATTAGTTAAAACCAAGGTGTGGCTATTCTCGGACACCATTTATACTACAGTTTTGAGTTAAAAAATTTGCAACCAAAGCCAAAACGCTGTATAATTTATTCGTTTTCGGAACGTTCAAGACCCAATAATACGGCAATAATTATTGCAGGCAACAGATAATGAAACGTAACGGAGTTTGAGTAGATTTTAGGTTCGCCGGTTAGTCACTAATAGAGTCGTGCCTTTTGCCACTCGAAACTAATAAATTTTCCAAACTTAGCCATCGCTGCTACTTAGAAAAAGGGCATGACAAATTAGAAAGCATTTTGAATAATTTTTGGCCATCTGGTATGCTCGGTACAAGAATAAGGAGGAAAATTGTGACATCTTCAGATCTACCAGAGAAAATAGTAGAGAATGGACGTAGGAATTCCAAAACACCGCCATAATTTGTCATAATGATAAATAGAGGGAGCTAATTGTAAGTTTTCCGGCGGGTTTGCTAGCTGCAGTAGATTAATATAAAATTGACTAGCCCGCCCTCGTACTGCTGTACTAGATTATGACAAAGGAAGGTGTAAAAGTAGGTTTATATGTAAATTCCAGATGTTATGTAATTATCAGTATGAAATGGTAAAATTATTTAGCATTTCTTCGATGTTGTTGACCATTTCGTCACGATTGAAGGACGCCCACTTCTTTGTTCATCATGAACATTCATTCGTCTAGCTTTACACTCGCTACACCACCATAAACAGTTTTGATTTCATTAAAAATCGGGAATGGCGCCTTTCCCTTTGCAAGAAGAAACCGTATTACGGTTACGGTACAAAATGAACATACGAGTACTTACATGCGTAAGTTATTTTGCAGAATTGATCTTTATGGGACATTTAGATCCAAATACCTTTGATAATCAAATTTTGTAATACTGTAAAAATGTTTGTAAATTGTCACATAAATATGATCCATTTAGAAAAACAACTTTATAAACGTTTATTTTGAAAAAAAAAGTTCAAATAAACACTTGAACCGAGAAAAGAGAAATCTAATGCTTCATGTTCTATTCAGAAATGATAATAAATAAAAACAGGGTGGTCCGAATTTTATGCAGGAAACTTCGAGGATAGATAGATCTGTTTAAAATAATAGGAGTTTGCCTTATAAACATAGGTCTGGAACGGCCTCGTTTTAGAGATACAGGGTGTTGAAATTGTTAAAAAAAAATATTTTTTGTTTATATCTCAGGAATCTATTAACCGATCTCAATAAAATTTGGTACAAATAATGTACGATAGTAGGCCTTGCATTCCCTAAAATATGAGCTCTAAAGGATTAACCAGTGGTGTACAACTGGACAGGGGTCACCCCCCCTTTTTATGAAAAAACCTACGCCACTGTATTTTTACAAGTTATTGTAACGGATTTATATTCTAATGCACTAAATACGTAAAAAAGGTAACTTTAATTTTTTCCCTAAGGTTCACCATTTTCAAGTTATTCATACCAATACAATCCCCTTGTGGCAGACACTTCAAATCATAATATTACAAAAATATTTATGTTTATGCTTAAAAGTAAGTGCAATTTGTGAGCACATCAACAAAATTCTTTCCACATCACATTTCCCTGGAGACATTATCTTTACAAATAAAAACAATTTAAATCAAAATAATAAAAATATATTTACCAAGCAACAACAACTAAACAAGAAACAAAATTAACGTTACGTATTTACAGCAATCGTTTACCCACATCGATACATTTCTGACATCTTCTATTAATGGAACTAATTGAAACTAATATCATGTGGTGGTTTTCTTTTAATACATTACACCCGTCTTCTATTCGCTGCAGCAGTTGTGGTCTAGTATCTATTGGAGTAGAGTAAACTTTTCAAGTAGGTCACTCCAAACATAGAAATCCAAGGAGTTTAAATCTGCCGATCTGACTGGCCAAGACACTGGACCCTCTGCACCATTATGGTTGACATTGGCATTTGATCTTCTACCTATCCATCATCTCATATAATTTTCATTAAGCCATTCTTGTATTATTCTCCTAAAATGGGCAGGAGCACCATCCACTTGTATTCAGCTATTTTGTCGTATATTTAACGGAACATCCTCTAATGATTCAAATAGATGGTTTTCTAGAAAGTTTAGAAATGACTTCGAATTTTATGACCTTGTGACCAAATACCCAGATTGTGAAAATTCATTACCCCTCGCCTTGTGAATGTAGCCTCATCGGTCCAAAGTATTTCTAGTAAGAATTCACACAACCATTGATAAAAATTCAAGCGTCTCTCTTGCATCTCCCGGAAGTAAATTTTGCACAGGTTGTAAATGGTACGGATTTCTGCCATCCTTACGTAGCACATTTCAAATTTTCGATTTACTCACCCCAAGTTGCCGAGACGTTCTTCGTGTACTTAGCCGAGGATCGTCGTCAAATGCTTTTCATTCAAAATTTCATTTCTGTGCTTTTCATTCCTTTGTCGTGATTTTCCAAATATTGTTTTAATCCAAAAAGATGAAAGCGATGAGTGTAAAGAATTTTGTTGATGAGCTTACAAATTGCACTTACTTTTAAGCATAAACATAAATATTTTTGTAATATTATGGTTAGCAGTGTCTGCCACAAGGAGATTGTATTGATATGAAAAACTTGAGAACGGTGAACTTTAGGGAAAAAATTCAAGTTACCATTTTTACGTATTTTGTGCATTAGGATATGAATTCGTTACAATAGCTTGTAAAAAATACAGTGGCGTAGGTTTTTTTTTATAAAAAAGGGGGCTGACCCTGTCCAATTGTACACCACGGGTTGAATCTTTAGAGCTCATATTTTAGAGAATACAAGGCCTACTATCATACATTATCTGTACTAAATTTTATTGAAATCGGTTTATGGATTCCGGAGATATAAACAAAAAAATTTTTTTTAACAACTTTAACACCCTGTATCTCTAAAACGAAGCCGTTCCAGAGCTATGTTTATAAGGCAAACACCTACTATTTTAAAAAGATCTATCTGCCCTCAAAGTTTCCTGGATAAAATTCGGATCATCTTGTATAGTAGTTGAAACCCGAAGTTTTCGGGCGTGACGTTGGCACCCCTTATATTCAAAAAATGTACTCACTTGCCCTTAGTTTCAAGCTCAGTCTTTGTGGCGCCACCTGGACGACTCTTTCGTGCTCGGCAGCTCCTCCACTGAATCCTCTGTTTCGGTTAATACTACCTTGCCCCGACCAACTTTTATTATGCCTAAAACTACCCGTCTCTACACCCACCTCAGACTCAGAAGCAGACCGCTTCCTTGTGAGGGCCAAGTTTTTTGTGACGCTGAGCATGTTATCCGGATTTAGGGAGAACTCCTCGCGGCAGAGCTCGTTGGAGATAACGTCAGAGGCCGGCTGGAAGCATCTGGCTCTCCCTTTGTATTCCTGGAAATTATAATCATTTATGGATACACAAAGACAAGTATAGGGACTGTAACAAAAAATGAGAAAATTTGGAACTAGTTTGTGACAACATTAACAAATTAAAAGCACTTACAGGGTCCATGCACCAAGCGCAACCCGGCGTCTGGATGCACTCATGGCACCATGATTTCGATTTACAACGGTCCTGCAATGCAAATCCTTGGTGCATCTGCGCTATCACGATGGCGCTTATCACGCTTAAAATTAAGCAGTTGCTTAAAGTATGTTTCACCGAAGGCAGTTCCATTGTCCTAAAACAGAAGAAGTGTGGGTCATCCCCAACTGCCGGTTTTCAAGATAATCAATTATTTAAATAAAATATAATATAAATATAAATAAATAAAAAGATGACTTAATTACCTACAAGCTAACTTTAAAAAAAAATACTGATAATCAATACATGGAAGTATAATACAAATCGGTAACAGCTTTTTATAAGTAGGCTTTAAGGAGATAAAGAATTGTAACCTTAGGCGGGTCACCCATATTCAAAAGTAATAAATTTTGCTCTGTTCTGTGGGTCTCTGCATCAGAACGAGACCGCCTGCCAGGGATGGGCAGGTAGACAATCGCGACGTAGAAAATACGATTGTCTACGCGTAGACAATGACCTAGATAGACATAATTTGGAAGTGTCGACAATGTAGATAATGTCAACAATGTAGACAATGTCAACAATTAATAAAGGTGTATAATTAAATAAAATATTACTTTATTGTTTAAAAGCTTACGTAATCATAAGATAATGACTTAGTCGCGTCAAAGTAGGCCTAAAAACCCAAAAACCTCGAACTTCGCCGGGACAGGTCCGATTTGGCTGATTTTTTGTGCAAAATGTTCATTGAGACACTACTATCAATGTTGGCCAAAATCTAGATGCCGGGGATCTCATTTTTGTCGGGAATTAAGCCTTTTTAATACATAATTGGCACGCTCTAGTGTTATAAGGCTACCAACTTTATATTTAGGCGGCTTGCGACCCTATGACCCAACCAGGGGGTGGTCAAAAGGGGTCCCGGGGCCAAAATATGAGATTTGATTTGATTTGATATCAGCATATAAAATTGATATGATTTGGCCAGCAGGTATACTGCTTGCACTTTTGGAGTCTATGCCACTTTCTGACCAACCCAGGTGTGGGTGATAGGGGGTCCCAGGGGCCAACAATTGAAATTCTCGTAAAATTCAATTTCCTCATACAAAGTTTGAGTTGTCAGTGCCGCGAGAAACAACTACTCCGAGAGTTATTTGCCCCTACCGGCATTGAATTATACTCGCGACACCTAGTGCAACAGCTAGGATCGTTTGTTAGTTTAACCCACCAGACACAGACCGGTTTCGGACTTATTAGTCCTCATCAGTGTGTCATAGGTGCGACAACCGACAAACGACCCAGCTGTTCTTCGTCGTATCATCACGAAGAGGAAGTACATTGTACGCAGGAGTCAATATATGCTGATATCAAATCAAATCAAATCTTATATTTTGGCCCCCGGGACCCCTTTTGACCACCCCTGGTTCGGTCACAGGGTCGCAAGCCGCCTAAATATAAAGTTGGTAGCCTTATAAGACTAGAGCGTGTCAATTATGTGTGCTGAAATTCAATCCCGCGTGAACATCATATTTTGGACCCCATGGGCCCCTTTTTATACGGCCCTGAAGAGTTAAAAAGGCTTAATTCCCGACAAAAATGAGATCCCCGCCCTTCAAAACCCTCATGACTAAATTTAGCAGCGACTAACTAGGTCAGTATGGGAATGCCATTGGTCATGGCCTCATTTTCCAACAGCATATCTGTATGCTCGGTCAAGGGACAGGAGCGGTGAAATGGCAATAAAGAAACTGACAAGCTAGCTAGGAGTGCATCGGGGCTCAATATTTTTGGACACGGTTCCTCCAGTATGTTTCCGCTGTCAGCACTCGTTGAAATTATTAAGGAAAACACCCATAAATAGTTTATGAAATGGTGAGATGATACAAATTGCTGTCAATTTGCTAAAGAGTTGTTAGAATACTCCAGCAAGAATACAGCCAAAAAATACCTGGTCATGTCTAGGTCAAATCTTTGCCTAGTGACAGGTATTCAAACTGGACATTGCTGGCTAAGGAAGCACCTTCATAACATGAGAAAGTGTGAAACATCTCTTTGTAGGGGTTGTAAATAGGAATACGAGACAGTACTACATGTGCTATGTGAATGCACTGCCATCTCGTTAACAAGAGAGTCCATGTTGGGAGAACGTTGACCTTCTATGGCCTATATTCGAAAGATCCCCCTGAGCAACGCCACCACATTTTTCTCTGTAATAGGTTGTTTAGCGGATCAGGTGCATTGATCTCCTAATGGGAGGAAGTGCAAGGGACCCAATGGGGCCTAAGTGCTGTAGCTTTTTAAGCTGACTTCTGGTAACGTTTAATCCCCGACCTTAGACCTCTGGCAATAATTTTACACTATTTATACAGTTAAAAACTATAAGTACACAAAATTTCAGAGCTGCACTGAAAGATTTTTTTATTAAAATTAGATGCGTTTGACTGACTTCTGGCTGCAGCGCTATGTGATTGTCATCTAGTAAGGAGGGTTTTTATATCAAAATTTTCACTGCACCTTATACTCCAGAAAAATAAGAAAAAATTGAGAGGAAAGGAACTTCTTTAATCCAATATTTTTTTATAGAAAAGTGTAGACTTTGAGGTCACAAAACGTATGTCACACACGCAACCACCAGCAACATACAGCGTTTTGAAATATCGACATATATACAGGGTGTTCATTAAGTATTTGTATACAAATTTTTAAAAGATGAATCTTTGACTAATTTTAAGATAAAAAATTATGAATATGGGTCCGCAACGACTTGGTTCTAGTGATACAGTGTCCAAAAAATTTCTTGCTTGCAGAGGAAGTACGCAGCACGATTTTTGCGAATTTTTATTTTTTTTCAAATTTTCACTAATTTGGTGATAGTAATTTTTAAAGTGATAGCACATGACTCTTTTTCGCTTATTTTTCAAAAATGGTTCAATTTACAAAATTCCAACACAGGTATAACTTGAAACCCATTTTGTTACAAAACAACTGCTTTCAGCGACAAATACTAATTATCTTTTGTACATAAATTTCATTCCAGAATGGGTGTGTTTAGTTAAAAATGATATACAATGCGACACAAAAAAGTTATGGTTATTTAAATCCAGGTACAACACTGTATGTGGCGCCCGCTAACATTAAACAAAAAACTAAGTTAATATTTGAGTTTCTAAACATCAATACATCCAGTTTCCCGAATTTCGTCAAATTGTTACAAAAATATAATCAAAATACCAAACAAAAATTTTTTTTGGACGCTCTATCTCAAGAACCAAACCGTTGCGAACCCATGTTCATATGAAATTTTTATCTTAGGATTAGTCAAAGATGCACCCTTTAAAGTTTGTACAAATACGTAATAAACACCCTGTACACAAAATATGGTTTTCCTCGTTTTTTTACTAATGGCTGCCAGTAACTCAGTGAAGCTTCATTTTTTCTAAAAAAAATTTCAAATAAAAGTTGTTCACAATTAAATTTCCTACAAAATTGCTCCTAGGAAAAATTTCTATTTTCCCAATAGTTTTCCCGTACCTATACTTTAAATGAAGCACATATGTGAAAATTTATGTTTTGGAGCCAAAATAATGGTCAATTCAATTTTAAATAATAAAAGTGAATTAGAGAAAAGAAAATTGGGGAAAATTCTTGGATAATCTTAAGTATGTAGTTTACCTAAGTTTTCATATTCATGAGCACTATTTTTTTTTACTTTGAATATTAAAAAATAATAATTTGTAATATAATGAAACTAAAAACTTAAATTTGATGACAATAGGAAATTAATTTTCTGGAGCAATAAAGGTACTTTCAATAAAATAAATATATCATTATAATTTTTTTTATTTATTTATAATTAAATTATGGACTTCCATATCTAGGTTTCTGGAACATATTAAAAAGCGCATAATTAATTCGTAATGTACACCCTCGAAAACCTATAAAATGATACGTTTCATGCTCATAAGTATTCAAAAAGCGGAAAACCATATAAGATTTTCCAATAATTTTCCACAATTTTCTTTTCACTAGTTCACTTTTGTTATTTAAAAATGAATTGACCATTATATTGCCTCCAAAACATTATTTGTCCTGTAATTGGTGATTTTCACTGTTGGACAAATAATTTAAATAAGTAAATAATCTTTCACATCTGTACATCATTTAAAAAATGTACGGGAAAACTATTGGGAAAGTATCTTTTAATAGGAGCAATTTTGTAGGGAATTTAATTGTGAACAACTTTTATTTGAAACTTTTTTCGAAAAAACCCATCTTCATTGAGATATTGGCAGTTTTTAGTAAAAAAACGCGAAGAATCGTAGGTATCTCGACATTTCAAATCGCTGTGTGTTACTGGTGGTTGCATGTGACATATGTTTTCTGACCTCAGACTACACTTTTCTACAAAAAAATCTCGGTGTAAAAATGTTCACTTATTCCGTCTTTTTATGTCCAAACTTCCTGGACTATTTCCATTTTTAATTTTAGTAGCCAGTTCTCCGTCTATATTATTTTCTTTATAAATTCAGTAGGTATATAAAATGACAAAAGCAGTGAGGTCTCGATTAAAGTTAATATAGATGTCAAAGGTTAAATAGTTATCACGTTATTATTACTCTCAAATTTTCGGATATGAATACGTAGATACAACAACAAAATTGTGTTATGAAGATCACATCACCTTGAAAAGTTATCACAAACGCATTTATCGTATCAAGGTATGACTTTTGCGGTTAAGTGGGTTTTAAAATTCGACCTTTCATCTTGTACGATGATCCACAGAAGATCCACAAAACATGTTTCGAATTTCGGTGAAATTTAGTAAATCCGAAATATTCTAAATTCGAACTCCAAAACAGTCTTAGGGCCAATGCTTATAAAACTGATTTTTAACACCACAACCTTTTAGAGACGCGCCAGCGTAGAACGTGATGTAACGTCAGTCCGAGAACCATGCATCTTAATAACTAGTTTCGAATCATAGCCAGTATATGCTGTGTGCTCCAAATTATTTTCATGATTTGTATTACGTGCAACCATATGTTCATTTATTGTTCATTAAACACAAAATCAACCATAATTTTAAAAATCAAAATAGAATTGTTTCTCCAAAAAAATGAAAACAAGCATAAAGCTGCCATTCCAGATATACCGCCCAGGTTCGTCCACCCTACGGTAAAAATCTTCAGGAATACCAGCTCCTAAAGTTGTCATACACAAGCTCCTAAAGTTTCCATACAGGCACTCTAAGGAGGCCATACACACATAAACTTTAGTGCCCTAGCCCACCATGCCACAGACAGTAGAGTTAGAGTACCATCCTCGACTTCATAAACAAATTGAGCCTGACAGTATGTATCATTTTTACATTATATTTTTACAAATTGTTTACAGAAGTATCAGATTCCATAATTTAAACCAGATACGATGAGTCATTTAGCTATAAATAATACAGGGTGACCGGTAACTACGGGGAAAAAATAAAGGGTTATATAGAGCAGGTCAAATAAGTGCTAGTACTTCATATAAACTTTTTACCTAGGTGCCATTGTTGAAGAGTTATTGTCACTCAAAGTAAGAAGTTGAAAAATGAATATTGCCCATAATTTCTAAAGGGTTACTTTGATTAACTTGAAATTTGGGGGACCAAAGCAACTCATTCAAATGTATCTTTGTAATTTACGCAACTTTGACAAAGCTGTCAAATTTGACATTTCGCCCTCGCAGGCAGATAGCCCTGTTACTTTTTTTCATAAGTCATGAAGTATAGCTTTTTTGTAGAAAAGTAACAGGACTATCTGTCTACTAGGGCGAAATGTCAAATTTGACAGCTCTGTCAAAATTGCGTAAATTTTAGAACATAATTTCGACCGTCCTTGTATAATAAAAAATATTTGATTCAATTTTAAATGTACAAAGATACATTTGAATGAGTTGCTATGATTCCCCAAATTTCAAGTCAATCAAAGTAACCCTTTAGAAATTATGGGCAATATTCTTACTTTGAGTGACAATAACTCCTCAACAATGGCACCTAGGTAAAAAGTTTATATGAAGTACTAGCACTCGTTTGACCTGCTCTATATAACCTTTTACTTTTTCCCCCTAGTTACCGGACACCCTGTATAATATAAGTTTTCCATGGTGATAACCTAACTATCCTGTTTCTTGTGTAAATCCAGTCAACTTGAGACTATAATTTTACAAAGTGTTCACAAAAGTATAATACTCTATAATTTGAACCTAACAGGCTTAGCCGTTTATCCAAAATTAATATGTACAATATTTTTAAGTCGGTCCAGTAAATTTGATGAAGTGTTTATATCAAATGATTACTGAAGTATACGGCACCAAATTTGTGCTGCGATATATCAAATGCCTGTTAGGCGATTGATTATATTTATCCATGGAAAAAAGTTACATACATACATGTACGTCCTTTTCTTTTAAATTATTTCTTATCTGCTACTGGTTATCTTAGTGTAGTGAAAGAAAGTCAAAGATAGGAAAGTATTTGTTGCAGTTACAAAAGCAACCCCACTCCCCGTTTTCGAGGGTGCTGAATCCGAAATTGAGGTACGTGGAATTTCTAACCCTGCGCATCTGTCGCAATTGGCCAAAAACCAGCCCTTTTTTGATTGCGGGCTCCAGTGACGAACATTTTATCCCTCTCCTCCTCGTTTTCAAGGGTGTTGATCACGATTTCGCTCACGAATTTAATTTTATGGATGATTGGGGATAATTTCAAACCGTTCAATGGGGTTGCAGAGGTTGAGGAGTATCATAATTATCATATTCGTGATCAGCACACTTGAAAGCGAGTACAGAGGTTGTTTTTAGGGCGATAACGAAAATTAAGGGTAGTTTTGGATCTTTCGAGGGGGCTGCGACAGTTGGAGAGGTTCGTGATCATCGTATTCGTAATCAACACCTTCGAAAACAGGAGGGTGGGAAGGGGGAGGGTTAGAGAGTCAATCGCTGGAGAAATCAAAAAAGGGGGTGAATACGCAAGGTTAGAAATTCAACGGACCTCAAATTGGGATTCAGCACCCTCGAAAACGTGGAATGTGGTTGGTTTCGTAACGTCTTTCTCAAAATAAGCCAAGTTTTGCATTTTTTCACTACACTGTTTTCCATACCTTCATATTTCAAAATTTGAATGAATACACTTACTCGTTGTACTACTGCACGAAATACAGTATAGACACACACATCCACACTAACTACTGAGACACGAATGATTATTATATTATTTTAGGAAAACAATAATATTATGGGACCCAGTGTTGCCAATCTTTGAAAACGCGGCACGACGCGGACTGCTCCAAATTTCTAGACAAATTGTAGTATAACTTAAAAGAGATTACGACCAAAACAATTCTATTTATATATAGGGAGGAGAAAGATTACAATAAATATATTATACCCAAATATATTCATTGGCAACAAAACAACCAATAAAACAATCTGGGCATTCACAATACATATAAATTTTGTTATAATAAAAACAAAAAGTAGTTGGTTGGCATTATTTTTATACAAATTATCCTTAATTATGTATGACACTAAATAACTACTTAGTTACTACAGCCTCCCAGTTCTTTTACTTTTTATGAAGCCTAGTACTAGCTTCAGATGGTCCAGACAAATCGAAGTCGTAACTTTATACTTCGTTATCAAAATCCACATCTTAAGAATTGTTTTTTCTGCACTTATTATCATACATATTAAATCCATATGTCTAAATGAATTTTAAAATTCTATTCAATAACTTCGACCAGCTTCAACTTTTATATCATAAGCAGTAGGCGGGAATTTGAACTACTAAAATAATAACTGAAGCCACAAACGACACAACTAAAACTTGTACTCATTCTATTATCGAGTTCAGTGGTTTAAAATGAGGTGGTAATAATTGAAATACAACAAAAGTCATCAATCTTATAACATATTTACTGCTTACGTATAAATGATGGTACAAAATGTGAAATTATCGTAAATTTAATCCTAATTATCGATTCACAGGTCAACAATGGTCAAGAAGCAGACACACTAATATGCATTCCCCAAGGATTTTGGTGCGCTGAATGAACGTCAGGTTTTTGAGATATCCTAACCTAAAAGTGCAAAAAACACTGTTTTTCGTCATATTTGAGGTTATGTAGTAATGCCATCTATTCTTTAAAAAAAAAAATACTCCGTCTTTCCAAAGGAGTTGAGTTTCCTCAAATATCTTTTTTTTTCGTTGAGATGTCACATGTTGAAATTTCTAAGTTTATCAGTTTTTTAATATGCGAAAATCTACTAAGGATCCCTTAGACGTCAAACAGTTGATTGCAGTTCAGAAACTTTATGCTCAGAGACCTTCAATACATACGAACTCAAACTCGCAAACTCCAAATCCACAAACGCGTAAATCCTAAATCCACAATCCCTAAACCCACAAACCCCAATCACACAAAACCCGAACCTACAAACTCCAAGCTTACAAACCTCAAGCCCATCAACTCCAAACCCACAAACCGTACGGGTATGAAGTTTCTGAATTGCAATCGACTGCTTGATGTCTAAGGCAGCCTTAGTAGATTTTCGCATATTAAGAAACTGAGAAACTTCAACAAAAAAAAAATATATATTTGAGCAAACTCAACGGGATTGGAAGGAGGGAACCTTGTACTTTTAGATTCAATGTATTAGTTTTTTAAAAAAGAATAGATGGCTTTACTACATAATCTCAAATATGACGAAAAACAGTGCTTTTTGCACTTTTAGGTTAGGACATCTCAAAAACCTGACGTAATAGAGCAATTCCGCTGCCAGATTCGGATTCAGCGCACCTAAATCCTTCGGAAATATGTATTGTTCTGCTGTAAGTTTCTGCTTCCAAAAAGAAGTTAAATTTTGTTGGTCTGTGTTATCGACTGAACTCAAAATTATGGTATAAAAGCGATAATTATGGTATCGTTGGCTACACTGGTGGCACCATCTCCACTGGTTTTATAAGCCACGCTATCAGATAAGTCAAAGTAAGGCCTGGCGCTTGCCCACAATTGTTACGTTTGTTGAATCCAGAGGGCATTACTATCGACACTCTGGGATCTAACAAATTATACATTTATTATTATTTATTGTACATATTCCTTTTAATACCTTATAGTTAAGTTACAATTTGTCTTTTTTTAAAGCACACTGTCTTAGGTCTGACGAAAATGATAGCGCTGCCCCCTGACCGTAGATGACCTTACTTCACTTAAAATGTCGGCAATATCAACAATTAAATGGATCCTTTTATCTAACGCCACCTTTTCAACGCTGTATGATGACACTTGTCTTGTCTATTAGATCACTGTTAGCGGCAAGCAATCTTTACGGCCTTGTAACCATTTTATCCAGTAGATGACACGATGCCATGTAAAGTTTTTGATCAGGTTTGATTTTTAAGGAGTTTTATTTATTATCTTATTTTTTTATTGTTTTTAACGTAGGTCTCTGTACTCTGTACCTACTTATTCTGCTGGATAAACAGAGAGAATGGTATCCACCGCTGAAAACTTAGGGTTGCCTAACGTCTTGATTTTAGATCAATTTCTTAAATCTCTGTCGAGACGCTAGATGTCCAGATTTCAGCGATATCGCTACCTCCACCTGCTTAAAACTGTTTTTAAGGTTAACATTTTTAATATTTTAAATAACTTTCAAATGCAACAATTAAATCGTTATAGGTACGGTACATACAGTAAATATGCCGTAAGTTCAGGCTTTATCCGAATAAATTTAAAAGGATTTGTAATTAGGGTTTCTGGTCGAGACTTCTAGAAGCGGGAATTCCCGGGAAATCTGGCCTTACTCGAGATGAGAAAAAAGTGTCGAGAAATCGAGAAATTTAAAAATCACGCGGGTCTTAAGTTCTTGAATAGAGTCCGTTTCATTCATGCGTTCAATTCGTTTCTCGACAAATAACTGAGCGGTTAAAGTGGTTTCTCTACCAGCTCATGATTTATTTATTTTAAGTTTTTAAGGCTTTAGTTTACTTTGATGATTCTTTTTTTTATGTACAGGGTGATTCACTATATTTTGACCCCCCTTTAACTTTTTTGTTTTAAGAGTTATAAAAAAATGTGAAATACAAAAGTTGCACGATTTTTTATGAAGTTTTCGAAAATGATAGTAGAAAAACAAATGAAGTTCAAACAAAATGGCCGCGGATGTTAACTTTGTTAATTTAAATGGAACACCCTGTATATTTTTACATATTTGGATAGAACGTTCCTTGTCGAGCATAGTCATATAGGGTTTGTTGGGTCCATCTCTAATAATAGGCGAGATAATATTAAAAAACGAAATGATGTTTTTTTATTAAGAAAATAAGACATCTTGTAATTGTTAGACCTCTTTCAGGCATTTCTGCCTTTTTTCCAATTACGTAAGGATTTAGATTTAGTTGTAATATATTTTGACATATCGGACATTGATATAGTCCAAAATGCGTATAGGTATTTTAAGTAAATCTCACTAATTAGACCGTGTGAGGCCAATTACTCATGGACAATCTTATATATGGTAGGTCGTGACAGTGACAGGTAGTAATGTCATGATAACATTGTTATTGTTTGACAGTTTGTATTAGTATTTAATTAAAATGGGTTACACAGAAGTAGAAAATTGAAATATTATTAGGAATTAAAATAAACTATGGAGAATATCTTAACTACTCTATCTTAATTCCTATAATATTTAAATTTTCTACTTCTGTGTAACCCATTTTAAATAAATAATAATACAAACTGTCAAACAATAACAATGTTGTCATAATATTACCTGTCACTGTCACGGCCTACCATATAACATTGTCCATGAGTAAATAAGCCCCTCACGGACTAATTAGTGCGATTTAGTTAAAATACTTATACCCATTTTGGACTATATCAATGTTCGATATGTCAAAATATATTGCAAATAAATCTAAATCCTTACGTAATTGGAAAAAAGGCAGAAATGCCCGAAAAACGTCCAACAATTACAAAATATTTTATTTTCTTAATAAAAAACGTTCTTTTCGTTTTTTAATATTATCTCGCTTATTGTTAGAGATGGACCCAACAAACCATATATGACTGTGCTCGACAGGGAACGTTCTATCCAAATGTGTAAAAATATACAGGGTGTTCCATTTAAATTAACAAAGTTAACATCCGCGGCCATTTTGTTTGAACTTCATTTGTTTTTCTACTATCATATTCGAAAATTTCATAAAAAATCGTGCAACTTTTGTATTTCACATTTTTTTATAACTCTTAAAACAAAAAAGTTAAAGGGGGGTCAAAATATAGTGAATCACCCTGTACCTAGTTATAAGTCTGTGTAGAAATTTTATTATAAGCAGATACCTAATGTTGAAGTGATAAATTAATAGGAAGAACGCTTCTGTATCTTTAAATTAAAGCTTTTTTTTTTTTAAGATTTCTTCGGTTAAATTCCTTATTTACTATTTATTTAATTAAAAGACTGCATGATTAATGATTATTAATAATTATTATTGGAAGAAAACTACGATTCAAAAACATTGAAATAAACATAAGTATATTGAAAGTGTTTAATAAAAAAACAAGTTAAAGGTTTTTAAGAAGAAACTCAAAGTTTAATTTAGTTTTGTTAGTAGAAGTAGAAACGTAAGTAATTAATAAAAATACTGAATAAATAATAAATGTTAATGATGATTGTTAAGTATAATAGCATGTTTATATTTCGCATTGCAATACCAAAATTATGACTTTTTTAAGTTTTAGAAATTTCTCGAGAATTCGAGAATTCCCGGGAATTCCTAGTCGAGAATTCTCGAGTCCCGAGAAAAAAAATAGGCCGAGAAATCAGAAACCCTATTTGTAATAGATTTAATTTTAGAAATGTTTTCCAAATCACTAATACAATATTATCAAAATCTGACTGCAAATTCATATATGAATGTAGTCGTAAATTGTGTCGGTGAAACTTTGAGGCTTATTCATTTATTCATTTCTTCGTTTCATTGTAACAGAAATACGCAATCAAATAAAAAGGGAAAACCATCAGCATTTTTGTTATTTGCAATGTCAGTTATGAATTTACAATTTTATTTTGTTTTGTATGAATGATATTATCACGCAAACAAATTGTTATTTAAATTCCTCTGTTTAAAATCCTCTTTTTTGACAAAGTTGTCCTTAAAAGTCATAAATACCAGTTGTCAATCCCAGGAAACAACTAATAAAACATAAAAATTTGAGATCAGCTATGCTTATACAGGGCGTTTTCAAAAGAAGTAGCACAAATAGTACCGGTGAATCTTCAGCTATAAAAAAAAACACGTTAAGCATAAAAATAAAAAAAATAACTTACGAGATTCTTATTTCAATCTCCTCCAAGCGGCAGAAATGTTTGAAAAATTGTTGAGGAGTTGCACATGCACAGTAGAAAATTTGTGTAAAATTCGACTATTATACGTTTATTGGTTTTCAAATTACAACCGCTATTCCATTTATTTTTTTAAACTTTGAGGGGCTGAGTCTTCTAACGGGTAAACATTTTACTAAAGTCGTTTTTTATGCAAAACATTTTTTTTAGCTGTAGAATAACCGGTACGATTTGTGCTACTTCTGTACACTCTGTACATTCATATATTTCAGTTAATCTTACCTAATTGGCCAGATAGCATTCAGAATAACTAAGATTAGCTGATATCAAGTAAATAAATCACGACTAGATATTATTGTGGAAGCTAACGGAAGTGATCACATAAATCGCAAATAAAAAATAACATATCTATCTCGTTGGCAATGAAGTATATAAATAATTTTTATCTCAATTTTCCAAATCTATCGAGAACGTCGCGACAGTTCTGCATCTGTAAAATACAGTAAAGTTCCCAGTTTGTAATTAATGCGTAATTCACTTTTTAAGTCCGTTTCGACACTGTACATTCTAAATTATTGAAGACACTGTTTTCGCAAAAAGAGACCACGACCCGCACAGTCAGCTTTGTGAATTCGTCAGTTTTGTGCCAAAAATCAGATTACTGTTCTCCTTCCACCTCCTTACACGTCAGACCTGGCTCCTTACGATTTTTTTTTATATCCAAAATTAAAATCAGTGCTGAAAGGACCCTTCCGACTATTGTTAACATCAAAGCAAATTCGTCACAGACTATTTCAAATGAAGCTGTCCAGGACAGCTTCGCGAAATGGAAACTCCACTGGGAAAAGTATGTGAATAGGGAAAGGGAGTACTTTTAAGAAGACAACCAGTACCGGTAACAAAGTAAAAATGGAACACTTGGTTTTAGTCTATTGAAATTCATTTTACAATTGTTAAAACGAAACTATATATTTTGTGGTGACAACAAACAGCAAATAAAGTAACTACTCTATTTTTAAATTGTAACTTTGATACCATGTGTCTAGAAATTGAGATACTAGGTGAAAAATTACTTAATGTAATTGTCCTGTTATTTTCCTTCAAAGCTTCTGCAGTCTTGAGCTATATTTTTGTAACAATCTATATACATGAATAAAATAATCAGTTACTAACAAAATAGATATATTTCTTCTTGGTATAAAAACAGCAAAGTTTTTCTTATATTAAGTTAACAACCACACCACTAAGAATCGATGCTAGTGTCGCAAATACCAGCATAACGAACATAATAGTTAACATACACATGAACTTCTCTTCGCGTTCACAATAACTGCAAACATAAAAAAAAATAATAAATTTTAATATATAAACTTATAGGTGATGTGCAATCCCGCATTCCGCGTTACAGCATTCCAGCGATTTCCCGCATGTCAATGAGACCTGCGGAATTCCCTCATTTGTGCTGTAATTTCCGCGCGGGAAATTTTTGAATAGAACACGTCCATATAGCGACGTGCGCGCGAGCGCTCCGTTTGGTTTGCATGCGCATCCTGTTCCCCTGTGACAGCATCGATCAATTGAGCGAAGAAAAGGATTAAAATTGGCAGATCTTTGTATCAATCAAACAAATTCCTTGATTCGTTTGTTTATTTTGGAGAAAAAAAGTGTTTACAAAGTGAAATTTTATATGTAGATAATAGTTTTGTCTTCTTGTATATTAATTTTATTATACTATATTATCGATGTAGCAAATATTTTTTTAGAAATTGTTACTACGATTAAATTACTAACCTAACCTAGATGTTTATGAATTTAGTAATTTAACAGCAAGGAGTACGTTAAGTAACTAGAGACATAATAATATCTATGTAAAAATAACAAAAGTAATATGTTATTGATGTGTAGATTTCTGTCGATTCTTAGGTAATAATTAATAAACATAGTTTTTAATATACAGGGTGGCCATTAGTGTGGGAATGTAAAATAATTCCTTTGTTATTCATAATACAGAAAAAAAGTTTATATAAAAGTGGTACAGAATCAAAAAACCTAAAGGACAAAATTAATTTGAAATATAACAAGGCGATTAGTAAAAACGGGATACGCCAAATATTACATTTTTTAAATGAAATACCCTGTATATTTATAAACATATGGATTTCTGAGAAAATTCTGTATATGGTAATATAAACAGTTTAACATTTTAGTGAAGGGTTGCCAAGTTATGTAGAAAATTCTTCAAATGTTTCAAATTAATTTTGTAGTTTAGGTTTCTTGATTCTGTACAACTTTTATATAAACTTTTTTTCTGTATTATGAGTAACAAGGGAGTTATTTTACTTACTCACACTAATGGCCCACCCTGTATATAGGTAATGCTTATCTGTTTGATTTTTAAATACCAAGAATTATTTATATTTCATTTTATTAAATACAACATTACACAATAATAGCATTATTTTCATATATAAATATATTTTTAAATCTTTCGCGGGAATTACAGCGGGATCCCTCTGTAAAGGCGAATTTACCGCAAATTTCCAGCTGGAAAAAAAAGACTGCGGGATTGCAAACCCTAGTTACAAACTTACCCTGGTAGTATGATTATAACGGCGTTTTGCACATATCCACTAGAAAATGCTAATAAAATCATAAAAATTATAAAACATGCATCTTCGTGGAACACAACAGGTAGGTGATTCCTAGGTTGGATATTACAAAGCAGTATTAGTGGAAATAGGACTAATCGCACTACAGATGTCCCAAGAATGACATATACAATTTTCAACTAAAAAAGAACAAAGCTTCATTCTCTCTCACTTTAGAAGACAAACAAAATTATTATATTTTTACATTTGTAACTAATGATATCGTTAGAAACAATTACTATAACGACTAACGCCCAGATCAGTGAATTATACCCCTAAAACTGCGATCGAATGAAGATAGTTAACTTGGAGAGTAGAGGGTAGGTGCTTGTTTGTTGGGTGTGGCAAACCAGTGGCGGCTCGTGACATTGTGAATAGGCGAAGCGCGTGGCTTTTTTACTAGGTGGGCAAGAAAGAAAAAAAAAAGCACCGCAAGCAAAAAATTTTAAGTTTTCAAGGTCAAACGACTAAATGCATCTGGAAATTTTTAGTTGCATTTATAATATTATAGAAAATCTGACGATGTTCACGACTAGGATTTGCATTTAGATTTTATAAAAAATAATACCTACACAACTATTTGGTTATTTTATTAATCCGCTCTCAAATAATAAATAAATAGGAATAAATGTCCACGTCATTTTTTATTATGGAGATGAGAGCCTGAATCAGGCCGAGTATTTATCCCATTTTATCATAATAACAGTTATGTTATTTCAGGGTTGTTAACGTTACCTGTTAAGATATAACATGCATGTCATTGAGGAATTAAGACCATTTTTAGCAAATACTCGTATTGCAATTTTGTTGTTTTTTGAAGACGCTTTTGTGTCGACATTTTTAATAATAATTATGCAAAATTATTATAAACAAGAGTCAGTATTAGACAAAAACACATATAACTGACAGATGTCTTTTAGGTTATGAAACATGAAACAAATGCAAACTCGTAAATAACGGGTAAGTACGACATAAAATAGTTTGTAACACGTTATCTTAAATTATAACAGAGTTTCTTAAAGGCAAGGAATTTGGTGTCGCTATAGTTTAACGTACGTGTTATTTGTCTAATGAAAATGAACGGCTTGTTAAATTTACATTTACTTGCCGGTTTTATAAACGCACATCGAAGGTAAGTTGTAAAATTTAAGTAACTTAGGTAAGTATTTACCCTAAAATTATTGTTAGGTTAAATCAAACGAAGAAGGATCTAACAAGGAAACTACCCCAACCCGAACTCTCCGATTTCCAATATTTTTATATATGTTGTAGACTCGGTTGTAGAACATAAAAAATTAAATGACATATTTTTTTTATCGGCGGAAAAACATATTTAGGGGGTGAAATACATCCTCAAAGTTCACCCCCCAAAACAGTTTTTTCTAAATATCTGGGGTTCTAATCAATATTTTGGAATGAAAAAAAATGTAAATTGCTTCTTATAAAAAAACAAATGTTTCACATTAGATTCCGTGTTTGGAGGCTGCTACCCTTATTTTTTATTTCAGAAAAACTATATTTTTCAAACATTTTTTATATATATAAAAATTCATATTAAAAAAAATAAAAAATATGATTTATGTAAAGAAATTGACAAAATAAAGTTCTCTTTTTAGGGGGTGAACAACCCTCTAGTGTGCTAAAAATGTCTGTACGATTAGAATTAACATTGCAAAATAAAAAGTTTTTACTTTTTCTCTAATCATACGAATAATTTGTTCTATTAGCCGCAAACAGATTTAAACGGATGCAAACTACCCCTCATGGTCACCCCCAAAATATTTCTGTGACATCTCAATATTTTGAAATGAAATAAAATGGAAATTACTTCTTTTAAAAAAATAAAATGTTTCACAAGTGATTTCGTGTTTGGGGGTTGCAACCCTTATTTTTTATTTCAGGAAAACAAAGTATATTTTCAAACATTTTTTATATATAAAAAATTCATATTGATTCAAAATATTAAAAATAAGTATGATTTATGTAAACAAATTGACAAAAATAATTTCTCATTTTAGGGGGCGAACAACCCCCTAGTAATCCCCTAGTGTGCGAAAAATGTTTTAACTTTTTCTCTAATCATACGAATAATTTTTTCTCTTGGTCTAAAACGGATTTAAACAGATGCAAACTACCCCTGATGTTCACCCCCAAAAACAGTATATCCGTGATATCTCGGATTCTAATAAATATTTTGGAATGAAACAAAATGGAAATTACTGAACCCGTTTATTGGGGGATGAACAGCAGGGGTAGTTGATGAACAGCAGGGGTAGTTTGCATCAGTTTAAATCCGTTTTAGACCAATAGAAAAAATTATTCGTATGATTAGAGAAAAAGTAAAAACTTTTTATTTTAAAATGTTCATTCTAGTCAGCACAGAAATTTTTCGCACACTAGGGGGTTGTTCACCCCTTAAAAAGAGAACTTAACTTTGTCAATTTATTTACATAAATCATATTTTTAGTTTTTTTAACAAATATGAATTTTTTATATACCTATAAAAATTGTTTGAAAAATATAATCTGAAATAAAAAAAAGGGTAGCAACCCCCAAACACGAAAACACTAATGAAACCACTAGTTTTTTATAAGAAGTAATTTTGCATTTTGATTCGTTCCAAAATATTGATGAGAACCCCAGATATTTAGAAAAATCTGTTTTGAGCAGGGGCGAACTTTGAAGATGTATTTCACCCCTAAACATGTTTTTCCGCCGATAAAAAAATACGTCTTTTAATTTTTTTTTGTTTTGTGGTTTTTCCCCAAATTCATGCTCAATAAATTAACTTTAGTAGCAAACTGTTGTCATAAAGCATTAATAAGTTTTAATTGTGATGGTTTCGTTCTGCCGGTAGTCGTAGTCTGTTGTTATGAAACATGAAACAAATACCTACAACGTAGAGCGCAAACTCGTAAATAACGGGTACGTACAACATAAAATAGCGGCCGTGTTCCGTTTCATTTCATTACAATTAAATAACATGTCTGTTTGACGGATACTTATGTTATTACGGCATGTTATTTACAAATGTTATTTCTAACATAACATTTTAACGTAAATGGGATACATTCTCGGCCTGAATATGTCTTTTGCTGACTTATTCTATGCCATTTGTATGTTCTTTTGGATTATTAATACCTGCCTTGTCCTTATAATTAAAGCTTTTGTACATACTATCCCTCGCACTGACATCAGACACTACCCGCGTACTATGCGACGCGTACATTAACCGCAAACTGAAACTACAAGTGTAAGTCGCTTTAAGCCGGCCTCAGTTCCCCCGTAAATCATGTTATTTTAACGGCCTCGCGTGGAGGGGGAACTGTAGTATATTGTAGGCAGGTGTGACGCGCCTATTCAATATTCAAACAATTATTTTATATTGTTATTTTGATTTTTGATAAATGTACCTAATAGGTAACTGGAAATTAACGAGTAGTTTACCTAACTGTTTATTTAGGTTAATAGTAGAATAGTAGGTATTAAAATATACGGTGTGAGAAGCAAATTTTCCAGTGAGGCCCGGCCTCAGTTGCTTCATACGACGAGCCGCCACTGTGGCAAATATTGCGGGGTGTTAGTAACGCACCTAATCTTTGTCACCACTCGCCAAATAAACATCTACTATCTATAATCTAAGTAAACCATCTGTAATGCGATCGCGGTTGTGAGCAGCTAAATTAATTCGTTAATGAAACCACAACCAATTTTGAACTTGGCAGTTCCAGCGGTCTGCCATAGGTGAGACGATAATTTTTTTTTTATGTCTAGACAGGGTGTATCGAAACATGTGTCGGAAAATAAAGGGTGTGCTTCTTTGGCTCATTCTAAGAAAAAAAGTTCTTATTAACATGGGCCGGCAAACGCAGTTTTCGAGATTTAGGGTATCAAAAAAAAAAGATTTCTTTCAGTTTTTTGACGATTAATCAGGAACCGTTTGAGATACAGAATTTAAAATTTGTATACTTATTATCATCATTAATATTAGCTTCTTTTGAATACTAATTCGATTTTTATTCATATGTCAGTGGCGGAGATTTTAGGATTGCACGAGGTCCTTTTGCCCCTAATTTTTACCTCTCTGGAGGAATTAGCATTTCGAAAGCATGTTTTAAACCACCAATGTTTTCTACACGAAAAATGTACTCATCATCAAGAGCTCGAACCGTTATCAAGATAAATGGCCTTTTATGATGGAAAACATGAAAGAAAGTGAATGATGAACAAAATTATTCCAAAACTAAGCAAATAAACGTCAAAAAAATCAGAACAGTTGTTGAAAATGGCCTCCTCCTACGGTAATGTAGGCTTCTAACATAAGTCTGAGTGACTGACGTACCCGTTCAAAAATGGATCGTACGTTATGCAGCAAGCAGTTATGTGATTCCTCAGTTTTTCAACAGTATTAACTGGTGTAGTGTAAACTAAACTTCTTCTTTTTTGACATCCTATATCTCGAAAACGGTGCGTTTGCGGACCCAGGTTTTAATAAGCACTTTGTTTCTTAGAATCAGCCAAAGAATCACACCCTCCATTTTTCGACATATGTTTTGAAACACTCTTTATACAGACAGACATGGGTGAGATATAACAGGCAAACATCTTAAAATGGTCGCTGATACCGTCAGTATAGCCAAATGCGACCATAAAAAAATGTAACTCGCTTTGTATATAATATTTGACCCAAAGTTTCATCTTAGTTTTCATCTTACAGTGTTAGTGCGTTTAGCAAGTAAATCTTTAATGTCAAACTCATCTAATTCTACATCTGTAGATGCATAAATATACTATGTGACAAAAAATACATCACCCTGTTGAGGTCAATATTTTAAAACTCTATACATATGCTTAGGATGTAGATGTAGGATGATAAAGAAAGGTGACATTTTATCTTGTTTTCCTTCCATTTTTTTTTTTAAATTTATTCTCTGGTATTTTAGTCAGTTTGTTGTTATTATTCGAGTGAAACAGTTCTAAACTATAGTGATAAAATGCCCAGAGTTAGAAGACGGCAGAATTAGCTGAGCGATTTTGAAAGGGGTCGTATTATTGACCTACATGAGGCGGGAATTAGTTTTCGCGAAATCGGTAGACGGATGCAAAGAAATGTTGCAACAATTATTCGTTATTGGAGAAGCTGGTCAATAGGCAACATCGCAGGAGAGGCTCTGGACGACCTAGAGGAACGACAGATCGAGAAGACAGGAGATTGAGACTGCTTGCCCTTAGGGATCGGCACAGTACCTCCAGATCTAGGAAACATTTTTTTGGAAGAGATGGGCCATAGAATTACAATGCGTTCCATATATCGTCGTATTCGTTCCTATGGTCTAATTTCATATCGCTCGAGATGAGTCAAGCGTCGAAGAGGAGAAAGGCGGTTCTTGGAGTTTGTCGTAAGACGTGAAATAGCTCTTACCAGAGGATTGATGGTGTGGGGTGGAATCAGGATAGGTAGCAGAACTCCTCTAGTATTTCTCCAAGGCCAATTGAATGTCCAAAGATACATTCATGAAGTTCTGGAACCGTTTGCTATACCATATATTCGAGGGTTAAATAATGTCACGTTCCAACAAGATAACGCTCGCCCTCATATTGCAGCGGTTACATTACAGTTCTTAGAAGAGGTCAACATCAATATTCTCCCATGGCTCGCACATTCGCCTGACCTTTCGCCCATCGAACATGTCTGGGATATTATGGGTCAAAGATTGGAAATGCTTCCAAACCTTCCAATGAACTTATAACAGCTGCATGATGCTCTAAAAGTTGCTTGTGATGAGTGATGACCTTCCTCGGGACTCTATAGATCACCTTATTAGAAGCATGCCCAGGCGAACCACAGAATGCATTCTTTTAAATGAAGGGGCAACCCATTACTGAATTTGGACTTTATAGGATGCGATTTTTCCAACGAAAATGTTATGAATTGTTATTCTTAACACAATCAACACATGTAGAGAATTTGGTTAAAAATATACAGTTTTACTAGGTGATGCGTTTTTTTTGTCACATAGTATATATTTCATGAGGGAAAGTGTAATGTCAAAACATGAACAAAAGTATTTATCTATAAATTGTCCTTACCACTGCAACGTAATTAGATATTTCTCTACCAACAAATTCCATAACATTAAATAAAAGGAACACAGTCACTGGCACGAAATAAATATCTGAAAAGAAAATCATTTAGTACAACTGCAAGTCTTTGATAGCAAGAAATAGAGTTTACACAACTTAAAAAATGTGAGCCGGTGAACCGTTGAATTCCAGAAAATTAGAATTCCCAGATTGGTTAGTGTATTTGTACTATAAAGCGGTTCTCGAGATGTCAAATTAACTAGTAGTCAATAATTGGAAAAACATTTATATCCATGATCTCATAATTCTATAACCCCGTACCCCATAACCTTATAGGTCCATAATGTAGGATGTGCGTTGGAGTAGAACCACTAAACTCTGTAGTAACATAGATCTCATACATCAAGGATCCGAAACTACATGATTGTGGGTTGGCAGGCTCTTCCATAACCCCATAACCCCGTAACCCCATCACCTGGAATGTGCGAGGATAACCAGAAAAAGCTGTAGCAATATGGATTTTATACATATATCAGGGGTCTGAAACTATATGACTGAGTTCGCAGATTTCTATAACCCCATCCTCGTAACCCCATAACCCGAGGGTGCCAGGATTTATAATCACAAAATCCTGAGGCATTGAGTTTGTAGTACTGCTATAGCTCCGTAATCCCTTAACCTATTAACATAGATTTGTATCATAAAATCTCTTTGAGTTTTTCTCTTTGCATCTACACCGAAAAAACGTAATCGTACATCCTTGATTGGACAATAGGTGATCATGCGTTTTTACGATGAAAATCGTTATGGGGTCATAAGGTCATAGGGTTATAGCGTTATGGTGCAATGAAATTATGAATTTCAATGTTTTTCCAAACCATGACTACACCAGTCGGTTTAAAATTTTGAAAACCACTTTCTATGGGAGTTTCTTGATGTCGGGGTTAAAAAATGAACCAATCCGGGGATTCTGACTTTAGATTCGTATTCAGCGTTTTTGCGTTCTGTTATCAAACAACAAAAAATTAAAAAGAAGTTACAATAATGTATAAAAATTAAAAGAAGATGAATCAGATATTCAAAACACGTTTCCTAATTAGCCCTGGGTATTGCAGATTGATACGGGTGTACCACTTAAAAAATTGTTTTATGTATCTTGTATCAAAGATACATAGGGCTCAAATAAAAGTTTCATTAAATCAATCGGTCCATACTTTAAAATTAATTTTCCATATTACAGGGTGTCCCACTTCTTATGGGCCATAGATATCTCAGTATTATTGCATTTTTAGTTTCTTATTGAATTAAGACCTACTTAATAAACAATAGTTAGATACTACCATTTTGGTATTATTTATTGGTTTTTTAATAGAAATTTGCAACATCTCTAAAAAATGTAAAATTTTTCAGCAATACGATTTACACACATAAAAAGATTTATCCTCTACATTACTTATTTCAAATAGAAACGTAATAATTTCGGTTAACAGAAATTTCATGTTTTGGATCATGGCTAATTTATTCTAATATACATATATTCTTATCCGGATTTTATTAAGTTGTTTTATTTTGATTTTTTTACTGTTTCTTGTTATTGATTATTTTATTGCTGAAATTCGTCACTTACGCCGAATGTTGATTTAAAAATGTGATCATATTCTCATAAAAATCATTATTATTAACAATAATTTTAGTTGTATATTCATTCTTGTAAATATTTTGCTAATATTTACGTAACTTTAACATTGCTCGAATATATTTTTCGCAGTTCATTTTTAAAGCCACGACTGCAACAAAAAATATGAAAAATTACAAACATCTACAAAACTACAAATTATACAAAATTGACCGTAACTACCTTGGGGAAATTGTAAAAATAAATAAATAAATTTTGAATTTATCTATAGGTACCAAATCATTTATTGTTCAAAACTTATAACTTCCAAGATATGTAATTATTATTATTCTATTCGAAATATATTAAGTAGATAATAGATAATTTATAGTAGAAAAGATTTTCATACTTATACAAGTGGTGCAAACCGTATCTTGTTACCACATTTATTTGTTAATATATTTCATATTTATGAGAATCCTGCAGATAAAAAAATTATACTAAAAAAATTTGAATCGAGAACTTGGAATAAATTCAGTATATCAACCAAAAAGTTGTTGTTAAAATATGATCAGACACATCGATTAGTATTATAAGTTGAGCATTTTTGTTTACAAAAAAATATGTTATGCAGGATATCCCAACCAAGAGGTATGATGCCATAAACGATTTTTGAAACGGTATAGGTCTAATTTTGTTTCAGTTTTTTTTGACCAAACAAATATAAGTATATTCCTTAATAAAAAATTATTTGGTGAAAGAATTATTTTGAAGTTACCGTAATTTGGGAGCGAGTAGGATAGGAATAGGAATAAAAATTTGAAATTTTGTAGCGAAATATTACACTTAAAAAAAGTTAAAAAACCCGAGATTGCCCTTTAAAAAATCATCGATAAAAGTGTGCAGTTTATATTAATAATCGACGTGTTTGAGGATTTTGTAACATCAAAAGGTACTATTTACACGCAATGTTTTTTGACAAAATATAAGTTAAATTTAATAACAAATTCAAAAATGTAATAATATATAATCCATGAGACACTATATAATCCAAAAAATATTTAAAATGTGAAGAAATAGATTTGTTGCAACATTTATTGGAAATTTATTTAATTACTGTTCTATATAGCTCGATATTTTGTGTAACACTTACCACTCCAATCATTCGTACCCTTGCTAGAAGACTCTACTAAGGCGGTGAGTCCGGGGTTCAAAATGAGGGTACTAACCAAACACAAACTTAAAGCCAGCAACAGCAACCAAAGCTTCTTGAGCAATGGTATAATAGCACCAATATTAAACGCTGCTGGTCTCTCGACGACTGCTGGTGTCCACTCTAGCTTATTTCTAAGGTATTCGGATTTATTCGAGATTACTACGAACGCAATGATTGTACCTCCAACAACAAAAACTGCAATGGCATAAAAGAAACCGGCAGTAACTTTGACAGAGGATGTAACTAGCAAAGCAAATACCTGCACTGAGGCTGCCAGTATGCCACACAGCGACTGTCCTGCGAGCTGCGCAGCCAAATACCTCAAAGGAAATCGAGTGGACAGTTGAAAGAAGGAGATCATAAGGACGGAAAAACAACCTGTAAAGTCGTTAAACATGATTAAAACCTTAAAAATAATGTAAAAAGAAATATAACATGTAACTAGAGCTGGGTATGAATACAGAAATAGTATATTAAGTATTAAGGTAAGTAAGTATTCTTTACTGTTGAGGATATGTCCGAAATCAGTAAGACACTTAATGACTGCAGTGCATGACGTTTTATTGCACGCTCAAAAAGAGTAATTTTTGGTTTTTTAGAAAATTGACGGCTAAATTAGAAATATTCACGAAATGACTAATGTTAAGCATGACTTTTACAGTTCGATATACCCAGAAGAATCCTGTGAAATTTCATCTCGATCTAGCTAACCGTTTCATTGCTTCAAACAGTCAATTTTTTGAAAAAAATTAAAAGGTCACGTTTTTTGATCTTAAACACTTCATAAGCATGATCAAAATGGATATTTTTTTTGAGGTTTTCTCACATTTTTACCGCAAATAACGTTTAAATTGATGAAAAATTGATTTTTGGTTTTTTCCTGTTTTTAAAAAGATGATAAAAGTGTAAAAGATGAAACGTTATAGGAAATTTATTCTAATTTTCGAAACTGCCCTTCAATTCTCGACCATTTGTCGCCGAGATAGCGACTTTATTTGTCGCACTATTTCTTAGAATTGCATGATAACCTAACCTAACCTTCTAAAAAAATTTCGACCGAAAGATTTAAAAACTAGAATCTTAGAGGATCAAAATGCTTTTTTTTTTTAATTCCCGATACGACCATTTTTCACCTAAACACAGTCTGTTAAAAATCACGGAAAAATTTCGGAAATTCATTTGACCCTTTAATTTTGTGTGTTTATGTATGTATTTTGAACTGTTTTTTTTTTTCGATTTTCTATTTTACCACTTCGTATCTTTCCCTGGCGCCGCTATTCAAAGAAAAAAGTGACCTGAAACCAATTTTTCTTTATATTTTGTTTCTGGTTGATTTTGCAGCAAAAATAATTATGTCTTAATCTACATGATTTTCTCTACAAAATGGGTCTCTCTTATTTTGTAGAAAGACAGAGTTTACCAAGTACTTAACGTGTAAAACAATACGCATTTAATGTGTTAAGCCTACCGTTCAAATGCAACAGTTGACGACGTCGTCTCTTTTCAATCAGGACGAACTCAAATTTCTTAATGGGTTGCAAAAGACCCTAATCTTCACGAAGTTATAAACTTATTTAAAGAAAAAGATGCTGACAAAGAAAATGTAACTAAAGATGGAGAATACTTTCTTCTCAGACTCAGACGGATATAATAAAAAGGAATTTATACCTCTGAACACTTATAGGCACCAATGCTTCATAAAATCAGTATACATGAATAAATTTAACATCGCTTCATTGCCTCCTACAGAAGCATCAGCAAGACAACATTCACTTCGAACGTATCAGGTACAGCAATGGATTGGTAACGAAAAACCTGCAGATCAATGGGGATGGAAGAAAGACAAAAATGGTCTTGTCCCTCTGACTACACTCCAAGCCCCTGCTCTAGAAGTTCTATAATTTGCTTAAACTGTGACAATAAATGTGATAACATACCTCAAGCGTTGGATGATACTGATGACGATGAAGACGCTGATACGATCTTAGAACCACTGTATAATGAAATCGATACAGAAGGTAGAGAAGAAGCTACTGCGCCAAAAGAATTGATCCCACACGACTTCGTTGCCTTCAACTATCAAAAACTATTCAACTTTTCATTGCATGTTAAATGGTGACATTTCTTAGTCTCCTATCCAAAACAGGTTGGTTTTATGAAGAATATGGTTATAACCTATTTTGTAGAAAATGTTCTTGTCTTTAATTTGTTACATAACTATTTCTGCTGTAAAATCAACGAGTAACGAGATATCTTAATATGGTGGCGCCGGTGGCAAAGATACGAGATGGCAAATGAAAAATTTGAAATGAGAAGCTCAAAAATTACAGAATATCAAAACTTCCACAACATTTTCCAGCTAAAGGTAATTTACAGCACGTATTTACTGGACTATTAAGCTTATTGTATGTTATGATTCAAGAAAGTGACGATTTAGACTCAGAAAATGCTTGGTAGTAGGATGCTTAGCAATAATTCCCGGGAAGTCCAAAAAGAGATAAGAGAAAATCTTCAAGCTGTTTGCAGCGTGGTGTAGCAAGAAAACTCTTGAAAACGTCAGAGAAAAGGTAATGTTAGCCTGTTTTGTTTCAAGAAATGAAACCCTAAAGTCTCCAGAAAGCTTATGGGCTGAATACTCAAAGCCACAATATTTTTCCATAAAGCTGTTGATATTTTAAAATAAACTACGTTAATTGCTTTTTTTAAGAGAAAAATATTAAACATAAAGTGAAAAAATCTAGATTATTTACCAGGGAACACAATCATGTACAAGTGTATTTAAATATAAAACAAGAAGAAGAGAAAAATTATACACAATGAAAAAAAATGACATTGTAGATGAAGGTGTCTTTATAATAGCAAATATTCCTCTCGACACTAAAACGCATATATCACGAACGTCTACAATAACAAATCAATGAAACGAGAAGAGAAAATATCTAGCACTACGACCAAAACAGACAAAGTCCGTTCACTTATTCTTGGTAATGGGAAGGTTACAAATCAGGTATTAGGTAGAAGTAGGCCCAGTAAAATTGCACTGTGCTTAAAATTGCTGGGTCCCTCAACTGAAGGAGTTCTACCACTATTCTAGAAAACCAAAGAATAGATATTTTAGACCTTAAAAGGCACGGTGGGTGGCGTTCGTCCTCTGTAGCTAAGAAATATATTGAACACTCTGTGGAAAATACAAATCAATTTTCAAACAAGATTTACATGGAAATTCTTGAGGAAATTCTACAGTCGCAGCTCAGATTGTTATGTTCAGCAACTGTAGCATCATCAGAAGAGAACGTTATTTTAAACCCAAATTATATTGCTCCAATAATTATGATCATTGTTCAAATTGTAATTTAATTTCGTCTTTAATAAAAATTGATTTTTAAAATTATATTTATCGATCGATGATTTGTAAACGTCCTTGAATATTGACTTCTCTGTCGGCAAAGGTATCCATCATTACTTGAATTCTGAATATAGCATTCAAAGAGTACTTGAATCCAAAATACTTATATTCAAGCATTCACATTATACGAATACAATGTTGAATACTTACCTCAGAGGTTAAAGACAAAAATAAACTATTATTCCATTAAAGGTGAGGTTGAAAATAAAATTAAAGTACTATTGTATCAAACTGAGAATGGGGAATATACATTGTCTCTGACCTTAAAGATAAAAATAGACTATTGTTATATCAAACCGATTTAACGTACAAACATGAAATGAGGCATTTTATAAGGTCAAAAAGATTATATATCGTGGAAATATGTATTCAGATAAAAAAGGCTGTCGAAAAAATGACTGATGAATTATATTTACATTATCAGTTTGTTTCTAGAAAAATAAAGGAAAAGTTACAGTAATGGTTTATGATTGTCCATAGATGTAAAATTTGTTACTTTCCCTAAAAGATAAAATTTACATTTTCCCAAATTTTTAAATGTAATATCTGAGAATAGTCGATATGCAAAATTTTAGTTCAAAATTTAATAAATATTTTATTTTTTTTGTCACGGAATTATTTTAGTTGTTCCAATGCAATAAAATCCTATTAAAGATTGAGGATTTCATTATATCTCTTTAAATATTTTTTTTTACCTTTTGTAAGTTATAATAAATAAAATCTTAAATCTTAAATCTTAAATCTTTAAAATATTGACGCACAAAAAGTTCCTTTCTTATTGCAAAAGTTATGTTAAATTTTAACAAACAGTCTTCCAGATTAAAATAAAATATCGGTCAAACAGATTGATTTATAATTGATATTATGATTATAATGATACTTGATTTTTGTAGCGAGTTTCAAAATAAAAAGAGCGGCAAATGTGATGTAAACAAAGTATCATCACAAACCTAAAAATATCATCTCGTAAACATTTTTCCATATTCATTTCTTTTCGTTTTATAATAAATGAGTTAGTGTGTGGTGGCACTTTCATTGGACCACTCTTGTTCGTATTTATAACAAAATAATATCGAGAATACAATCACAGAGAGTAATCAGCTAAATATTTTTTATCTATTTAAGATAAGTAGATGATATCATCACATTTTACAGGAAAAAAGATATTTACTGTCTTTTCTCTGTAAATAAGAGTCACTTCTCCCCACCCTTTTAACGTAACTAGTTATGACAAGATTTTACATTATTAGGTATAATATTGATTTCCGAGTATTCATACAGGTACTTTAGTATTCATGGATGCTTATAATGCCCATAGAGTAGTTGTTTCCCGCAGTACTTGTAGTTAGCAATCTTATCTGTGAGATTTGATGTCTTTTACATATCTAGATTTTTGGTATCGAGGTATTTTCATATGACAGGATTTGTTTGAAATAGCTTATTACCTTAATAAAGCGTAAAACATGTGATAGGTAATAACACAATATATGTATCTATGAAATAAAAAAGTAAAAAGGGCAAAAAAGAAAAAAAATAGATAGGAAAACAATTATAATTCTTAGTCACGTAAATCATTTTTTGACAAGCGTTTTTTCAAAAATTTCATTTCTTTAATTAATTTTAATATATATAGGATGTTTCTTTGACTGTTGAGAATCAATAATTTGAATATAGAATTCAGAAATCTAAAAAAAATCAATGTGGAAACGATTCAGAGAGTTTTGTGCAATAAAAGTTCACGTATTAAAATCAACACCTTAAATGGAGAAAAGTATCTTGTATTTTAATAGATGGGGCTAGCAGTATCCGAAAAAAAGATGGATCATTTTAAAAATGTGGGACGTGACAGCTAAATTTCCTGTGGAAAAAGTATTAGATATTTTTTTTAAATCTGCAAAAAATGTGATAGATAGATGATGCACGTAAAGTATTGTATTCGAGTAATACCCAGCTCTGGATATAACACAAGACAAGTTAAAGACCAACAGCGAAACTGTTTACTAATGAGAGACGGTTGGGAATGACCATGGATTTTTGAAGACTTACTACTTTGTTACAATGTAGGTATTTATAACAGAATTAATAATAAAATATACTTACAATGTAGTAGTCCTCCTACTCCAACAGCGATGACGAAAAACCCAGATTGCCCTAAAAAGAAATAAAATTAATCGTATAAGAATTAATTATATTTGATTCCCTTCTGCAAGATATAATAATTGAAGAAACTTACACGAGTCCGTATCGAGGAATATGAAGAACCAAGTTAGTACAAAGAGCATCAATAATGAAACCATGCCACCAATGATCCGTTTTTTAAGCGAAATTTTCTTCATAAGTGCAAATGTAACAAATAAGAAAGTAATCGTGCCAACATTGCCAGCGATACTTGTGTAGGCTGTAAAGTTCTTTTGCAATGTCGTTTTCTGGGTATCTGAGGTATTAAAGGCCAAGTTAGGATCCCTAAATTTGAACATCCAGTACTAAAATAGTAATGGATTATTAATACACGTAAATGACTCACTTTGTTTACTGTGTTATCAGCGAATCGTCTAAAGCAAACGAATCATTGCGGAGAACAGATAAAATGTGTCAATCAATCTAAAACTTATTACAACAAAAGTGAAACAAATTTTCAACTAACATACCCCGTTTGCTGTCACATAAAAACTGCTCGGTAAGTAACAAGTAGTTCCTAAGAAATAAAACAGTACTATAAGTACATAATTAATAGGCTCATTCTTTTTCTCCGTATTTTGTGACACCATGTGATCAGTATCAGCCTCATCTGCAACATAAGCAAGTAAGTCAACTTATTAATAATTGGATTAAGTAGTTCACCTTTTATTTCCATGTTAAACTGACTGTTCGATTCTGTAAATGGGACTGCTCTTAAAAACGCTCTTGTTATTTATATATACCAGCATAGAAATTCTGCTAATTTGATAAGAGCAACCTGATATGATTACGGATTCTACATTTCAAGTATAATACATATCAAAGTTCATACATACCCTTGGCTTGGAACAGTTGTGTCTAAAATTGGAAAAATTAAACAAATGTATATTTTTGATTTATGTGCTTTTGTTGCAATTTATTTGAAATAAATATGTTTTGCTTATTTTTAATATATCCTTTTTCTAAGGTAGTGTGATAAAAAATAGACGGAGTAAAAAATAAAACCCCGTTTCATCTAATAAAGTGCCACGTTATTTATATACAGGGCTGGAAAATCCACATGGTCCATCTGACTTTACTTAAAAGCGACAAAGTAAAGTAAAGAAATCCGTGCGATAGACAAGGATGGCTATAGTGAAGACGTTTCATAATCTGAATAGTCACCGCCCGTTTCGGGTTAGAAGTGGTAGTGACTATTCAGATTATGAAACGTCTTCAATGTAACCATCCTTGTCTATCGCACGGATTTCTATGACTTACTTTATCGCCACCTGGAGAACCACCAATTGCTACAACGCCAAATGACATCGAAGACGAAATCCCTTCCGAAATCTGCAGTCATCACATACCATTAAAACCAAATAGATGTTGATGAAGCAGCAGCGTACACTCTTTGCACGAACACCCTATTTAAGAGTTTCCCATTGAAAAGTGTGTTACTATTAGATAATCATCATCTGTCTTGCGAATTTCGTAATACAGGGTAGGCCATCGCAAAACGTACCGCAAGGCGTTACAGGGTAGTAAAGAACTTTTCGGCAAAATCCAAAAACAGGTCAAATTTGTTTCTGTCCGCCAACTTGCATACAATGATACAGGTTGTCTTCAAACCGTTGTCGAACATTCTGGAGCACTTGCGGTGTTACTTCGCGACATACATTAATGATTCGTCCTCGCAGATCTTCCAAGGTATCAGGTGGAGTGCTGTAAACTTTGCTTTTAATGTGCCCCCAGAGAAAGAAATCTAAAGGATTTAAGTCGGGTGACCGAGGGGGCCACTCAATTGCACCTCTTCGTCCTATCCAGCGTCCTGGAAACGTCTCATTTAGGTAATTGCGCACATTGAGCGAGTAATGTGGAGGAGCTCCGTCTTGCTGGAAAATCAGTTCGTGTTCATTGTAAGCAGGGTCGTCCTCTATGATATTTGTTAGAGCTGGGTCGATGACATTTTGTAGTAAATCCAAGTACATATCGCCTGTCAAATTTCCAGGAAGGAAAAAAGGACCTACAATGGAATTTCCAAAAATACCTGCCCATACATTCAACTTCTGGGGGTGTTGGGAGTGTGTCTCATGGAAAATCCTTGGATTGGTATCAGCCCAGTAACGACAATTATGGCGATTCACTAAACCATTCAAGAAGAACGTACACTCGTCCGAAAAACACACATTAAAGAGGAAATTATCGTTTATCGCTCGTTCAGTCATTATTTCGCAAAATTGCAAACGACGATCAAAATCGTCTTCATTTAGCTCTTGCACTAGCCGAATCTTATAAGGATGGAATTTGTATTTTTTTAATATTCGTTGGACACTTGTACGACTCACTCCTGTCGCAGTAGCCAATTGCATTGTACTCAGCGTACTATCCATTGCCACTTGCCCCAATACCGCTATTTCCGTAGGTTCATTTAGTACCGGATTTTCAACCTGCCTCTTTTTGTTATGAACGGAGCCAGTTTCGCGAAATTTGGCCACCAATTCGCGAACAATTTTTCCAGACGCATGTTTCTCAGGATGCCGTTGGTTGAACAGTTCGGCGACCCGATTTCCGCATTCATTGTTTTTGAAAAAAAGCTCAATAATTTCTACTCTTTCTGGAATTGAGTACACCATAATTAATCAATTTAAAAGACTCGGCAGTATTGGTACTCTTCAACTACAAGTCACAAGACAGTTATCTAGCAACTTCTTGTGGCCTATCTAAATACGAAACAAAAAGCGGACAATTTTTTGCTCACCAAAATCAGGCTAAAGAATTCGCAAATCAGAAAAAAAAACAGCGAATTCTTTTGAAGGAATTTACCAAGCTAATACCGTAAGTTTTGAAGTAAAATTAAATCGATTTTCGCATTTCTCGTCAAAAATATTGTTCGTATTTTCAAAGCTGCATATTTTCTAAAATAATGGATCGATTTTCAAAAAGTAAGAATCGATGTATAGAGAATTAAAAGCCCTTTCTAATGACCCCCCACTTGACCCCCATTCCCATTTAAAAAAAATTGGGGGATGGCACCCCCACTTAGGGGGTTGAAGATTTTGCTATGCTTTTTGCGCCAAAAGTTGTCCCCCTCAGAAGAAAACTTTACCTGTTTTTGGATTTTGCCGAAAAGTTCATTACTACCCTGTAATGCCTTGCGGTACATTTTCGATGGGCTACCCTGTATATGGACCAATCTGCACGCTACACAAAATTAAATCTAACGCTATATGTAGAGAAAGAGATTATAAAAATATTTAAAAACATTGCCTAATTATGACAATTTACTTAAATTTAGAACTTGCAAACAGACTTTACAAACTTAAAATTAACTAGGTATTTCAAATTTATTAGTGACTGACCTTAAAACCGAAGAATAAATGCATTAGCATATAAATGAATATATGCTACATTAACGAAAAATTATTATTAGCTCTATATGGCTAGAAACGTTCAAAATTATACAGGATGTTTCTGAAATAAGTGCGTTCATTGAAAAGGGTTATAGAGGACACGAAAATCAGCAACTTTTATTAAACAACTGATGGCCTAAACCTTACGTTTTAATTTGAAAAAAATAAATTCACATAAAGGTTTAAACAAATTTAAAGCCATCCCTGGTGCGGCAGCCAGCTGTATCTTTGATATCGAAGTTACCGCGCGCCAGAGTACGAAAGCGCTGATGACGGTTTTGACGGTTTAAATTTAGTGCTCGAAAATGCTGAAATTTGTTCAAATCTTGTTTAAAGTAACATAAAAATGAAACGAATTATTTACCAATAGACGATATGCTCTACAAAAATTGTTCAAAATTGTTTCCATGTGCTAATAAACATGCTTCCAAACGACGGACAAAATTCTGTAACCAAAAACGCCACACCACACATTCACTGAAAACCGTTGCTGGAACCGAGATCTCTGTACAAAGTAAGGATTTGTATCACACCAATAGTGAATGTTATGACAATTTAGTATGCCATCTCTAATAAAACAACATTCATCCCTAAAAAGTACCTTGTAAAATCCGGATCCTGTGTAATAGGGGTATAATATTTGTAATACACGGTACTGTACACCCATTTTTCGGCAATGTCGCGAGTACTGCGCCTCGGATCTTTCTCAACGAGGCTTATGATTTTTTCTTCGCCGTCGAAAACATGTTGCGGCCTTCATATGTAAGGTGGACATTCCCGGTATCCCGTAACCTTTGAACAGGTTTTTCCACTGTTCTACTATTGGGATGCTGTCTGTTAGAGTAGTCGGTAACGGACCGCATACAAACAGCAAGTCTCATTTAAACTCTACTCACATTCTCCGTACATTAACACCATATTTTTAGTTTTTGATCAGAGAAGATTGTATATGCCGGCTAAGTAATACTGCAATACACAACTAAAGACCACAAGACATACTGACTACTGACCTATCATCAGATTTGCTTGATTGTGGAAGTCACTGGAACGTCAGCCAATTAAAGAAGCGCTTCACGCATGTAGCGAGTCGGAAGCATTCTGGCAGTGCACGTGCACAAGATGCACATTCAGTCGGTTTACATTCATGGTTAATTTTTTTAATTAATTTTCTCGAAAACAAAAGCATTTAGCCCATCAGTTGCTGAATGAAAGTTGCTTATTTTCATGTCCTCTATCACCCTTTTCAAGGAACGAAGTTATTTCAGAAACACCCTGTATAAATATGTGTACCGTTTGTCAAACGTGTAAATACGAAATTGAACCTCACAATCCCATTTGAGTATCACGAGAAAATATTATTTCAATGAATTAAGAGAATGTCCACCCTGTAATATTCATCTATCTGTATATTTGTGGACGTGTACAATGTAAAAAATGTGTGTTGGCAACTGACAGTGCTCGTGGATAGTGAGAGTTAACAGTGATGAAGCGAAGGGAAGGGAGTCGGTGGTTGTCTGGTTTTTGGAGACAGTGCATGCATCTAAATAACTGTGATTTTGAACGTTTTTTATCCTTGGAAACCATCAACAAGTTGCTGTGGTACAGTTAGTATCCTGTAGACATGTCTCTTCTCTAATTAACGACCATTATTCAGAGAGAGAAAACAATTTGTTATTAAATTTCAAAGGAACTCCGCACCCTGAGGTGCACCTAGCCACAGATGAAATAACGAAACCATATTTCTCCTCGTAACTTTCAAATGGATGAACTTACTGAAACAAACCAAGTAGATACTAACTGAAAGCCAAAGCCAAATTTAACTCGCATAAATTCATAGCAAGCTTCCGCAATTTTTTATTATGTTTTTCGAAACAAAAAATATACCTCATATAAAAAAAATGCTTTCTGTTATTAGCTTTCATACTATCTACTCTATTTTAAAGGAAATTCAAACAGATTCAAAAATGTTTCCTAAAAGAAAATCTTATTAAATGAAGTCAAACTATGTTAATTCTGATTAATTTCATACCAAAGCATGCTACATAATGAAACAATTCTAAGTAAACTGTAGAAACAAAAAGATTTTTTTGTAGTAACTGTTTTTTAGAGTGATCATGGATCAGCAAGAATACAAGGTAGTTCTTTAAATGATTACATCATTAAACAATTTTGCTGTCTGAGTTAGAATTACTCTTTTCGAACATATTGCACTAAAACTAAATAATGTAGGTCTGTAGAGTTGATAATTTGTAAAATTGTCAAAATTTTATACATTGAACCGTTTTTATTTCGAAAATGTTTATTACTTGTTGTTACAAACATTGTTGAATATCTATTTTCATTTTTTTTTAAGTGTTTGTTAAAAACGAGACTAAACTACTTAATACGTATTGAAAGGATCTTAGGAATAATCACACAAACGATTAATTTGTAATGATTTATTTAATTCACAAAACATGTGCTGTGTGTTCAATAACATTAAAAATACGTATTATTACAACCGTGAAATATGTAAGTAACAAATTTTCAAATACACTCTTTGAACGTCAGTGACGAAAAACAATCAAACAATCGTGGAATACATTTATAGGGAATTGAATTGTAAAGCAACAATGAAATAAGTGGTAGTGGAGCTCAGAAGAGAGAGCAAAGTGGACCTTCGTATTTCGAAGAAACCAGCAGCAGTCAGTGTTGGTCTCTTATTCTTGATTAGTTCCTTCAAGCTATCCAGCTCCTCTAGCTCTTTGGAACGCAGGGGTAATGTTTGTTCCAGCATGTAGCAGTTCATCAACAACTTGTCGGTCTCTCTTACAACTGAATCGCAGCAGAATACTACAGCCGTCAACCAGATCTGCAACAAAATCACACCTGTAGTCGTTGTAGATACTGTGAATGTAATTTTTTTTAGTCTACAGTTTCCATTTTGTTATTAACTGTTGGTTTGGATAACATTTATTATTAGTAAGTATACAAGTAGACAAGTAGTTAAAAATATGTTCTTATTGTTAAAACTGGGTACAATGAATACGTTAACAAGCAGAAGAAGCTTACCAATATTTCAAAGACGTAAAATATATGAAGATAGAGCGCCTTCAAATAAAATACCATTAGGGAGCATTGTTTTGTTAATTGTAACAGACAAGCAGGATAACAATAAATGAACAATATGGTCAATTAAATAAATAGGTAAAAGCTTGAGTAATATCGATAATTCTCTAAAACTGTGACACATTTTTCAAAGATTTTGTTCACAAAATATTACTCTAACAAAGCGAGCTTTGTTCAAAATCAAAGCAATCAAAATAAAACAAAATCAAATTTATATGTTATGCTTTGTACAGTCTCATCCAGACGTGTGTATTCCAAAATGTCACTACAATTGGCAATGATACCATGACTAGCGATTCAACATCAAGAAACATATCATTAGCTAAGTGAACTGAAATTTCAGAGTTAAAAATCAGGTCAAATCGTAACCAGATCAATCCTATGGTCGAGGAGGCCAGTAGAACACCTAGGAAGCTTGAATAACACTTGAACATTGTTGGATGCACCACTTTACGAGTATGTTGCTCAAAGTCGTACCATGGCGTTATGCCAAAGACAGACAAAAAATGGGTTAATCTTAAGATAAAGGAATGAAACATTGTGTCTCTATTAGAGTCATTTTACATGCTAGAAATAGTCTATAATACTGGTGCTGCCAGATTGATTAATTTCATTTAGCTGCCTCCATCTTGATGACTGAAAAGTGCAATTCAACTAATAAAAACCACTTAACAGGAAATTGGGTCGTCCACACTTTAATATACATTAGCTGTTTAGTTTAATGCATGTTAAAACCTTGATGTACTAACTTTTCGCACAAAAAAAAATGGAATAACCGAACGTTTCCATTAATAAAAACAGACGAGCATTAGTAAAATGAAGTAAAGTAGAATATTTTCGGATATATTTGTGTATAACTTGATCAAACTCATTCTGTATGTGACCCTTCGGTGATCGAGAGGATAATCCGCAGTGAAGTGACAAAGATAGGCAGGTACCTTTTGTGCGAAAATGTCGCTTTGATTTGGCAAATACAGTTATTCAATGAAGATAAAAGTTTTATCTTTGAATATATGACCGATTTATCTCTGCGCTCTTGCACAAAATAAATTTATTAAAACTAAATCCTTCTGAAAATACTCGTATACCAAGGCGACGTACCAAACAGTAACAAAGAAAGATGTTACTTTATTTTAAGAAAAATAATGTTTCTGTTAAAACCATGTGCCTTCGATTTTGTGACAACGGTATTTTGCTGTAGTTTAATATATCGACAGTTAAGTAATTGTCTTTATGGATAATGATCTCTTTATGCTACGTAAAATATATAACACCATGAATAATATTTTATCAGTAATTGCCTCTATTTTTAATTCTAATCCAAACTATCGGACTGAGCGATGTTCCAGTTACAGTATAGGGAATTTTCTTAATCGTATAAAATAGGATAATTTTCTTCGGTTCTTTCTAGTAAAACATATCAATAAATATTACGCGGGCATTTATTTAAACAAAACATTTAATTTATTCATATTGTAGCTAAAATCAGAGAATTTTGTTGATAGATTTATTTACTTTGTTATTTCAGAATATTTCTAGAATATGTTTTATTTCTTTCTTTCGTGTTCTTAGCTTAGATATTGTTATATACCGTTCTTGAAAATATATGGAAAAGAGAAACAATGAAAATATATAAATGGTCGCGCTAATGTGCAAGATTAAGTTTCAATTTTGTTATTGTGAAACGTCAAAGCTATCAAAATTGTATAAAATTGTGCTAAATGGAGAAAATTTGGTACGATAATATTTAATATCTGGTGATATGTTCTAATAGAATGAGCAAAACGCTATTTTTTAATAAGTTTATATTTAGACAAGGCGAAATCGGCGGCTTCGTATGAAAAAATTAGTTGATTCGATTTTTTTGCATAATTACCTCCGTGAGATGTCCCTGAATGAGGATCAAAATGTTACCGGCCGGTAACCTGGTCACAATTTTTTTAAACTAATTTTTTTTAATCAAATTGCAAAAATAACTTGTTTTTCTCCGGAAAAAGCTTTTCTAGGTATTTTGGGGTATTCTAAACAAAATCGTTCCTATGCACTATGCTACTAAAATCAATACAAAAACGGTCATTTTCAAGACTCAAAAACAATAACAAAAAATCAAGTTTTTGATGTTATTAAAGTTTAAAAGTAATCTTTAAACATACCTTGACAAAATACGGAGGAGTTATTTGGTATAATTACATTGCAATGCGTATTATTTTACTTATTAACAATATACATTTTGACTTGCGCGCCGCGCCGCTCGGCCACTCCACTGTGCGCCGACCCCGTCAGCGCCTCACTTTTTCATATATCTCGACATATATTTTAAAGTAAATAAAAAATAAAGAGTAAAATGTCTTAAACTTATAAATATATTTATTTAAGCATAAAATTTTCACATTCGTTTGCATTACAACCACATAAAGTAACACAAGTAACATTATTTTTTCTACAACTACATGCTTTAGTTTTACATGTTTTCAAACATTTACATCAATCGATCAGGTATTATTTAACATAAATATGGGTAATACTGCACCATTTTCATCTAGTTTGTAACCGAAATTTTCGATATTCAACGTCTGGTATTTAGAGTACCTATACTGAATTTTTCCAAATATACGTTTGCAATTATGCTCTTAATACGTGTAGTTTAGAGACATCAGAAGTACATTGAATATTTTCTAAGTTTATACCTATTCCATACGTTCGAGAAAAAATATTTCACCTAGCGGCGCGGGAATTTCATTGCGATATTCGCAAATTCAAAATTAGATATTATTCAAGTAAAGTAGATATATTATTATTGTTATTATTATTATTATTATTATTATTATTATTATTATTATTATTATTATTACTGTTTAGAAATTTATAATATCAATAAACAAAAAATAATTTTGATAAATAAAAATTCAGCATTGCTAAAATATATCAAAAAGTGAGGTGATGAGTATATACACGGGGTCGTTTTTTGAAATCTGTATATTAAAAAATCGCCGAGATAAGGACCCTAGTTACATTTTTTTTTGGTTTTATATTAATAACTTTTTTATTTTGCATCTTAAAAATCTGAAATTTACGCAGACGCGTGATAATATAATTACCTTTCGATCTTTTTTTGCCGATTTTCGACATCTTGACCTGGGCAGAAGATATTATACGCGTTCGTGTTTTCGACTTTATAATTTTACAATAGGCCGCCATTTTGAAATTGCGGGTCCGGATTGCGGATATTTGTTGAGCACCCCAACAATTATCTTTTCCTGTAGTTTCATCCAATTTCAGTCATATTCGTTCTTTTGATGTAATGCTGAAAATTTTACACATTTTTTTTCACTGCTAATTTTGCAAAGTAAGAAATATTTTGCGAGCTTTTGCAAAGGCCTATGATTGTAGCAAATTTCCTAAGGAACAAAATCGATAAGTATACCTCATTTCGATTAGAGGCTTATTTTCGGAGATATAAGCGAAAAAATTAAAAAAGAGCAATTATTTTTTTCTTTTGTTATATGATGCTCGACCTCTACAAATACACAAATTTAGGATTTTATTCTGTGTATTTTTTACTTACTGTTTGGTCCAATTCGCCCATATTATAACTGAACTTTCATTGTTTAGAATATCAGTGGAAAATAGATTAGCTAATTTTTTAAATTTTGTTATTAGCTTTGGTATGTTTTACTCTATTTTCAAGAAGTTAGATTAATTCAAACAAATTCAAAATTGTTTTCTAAAAAATCTTATCAAATGAAGTCAAACAATGTTAATATTGGTTAATTCCATGCAACAGTAGTAAATTGTGAAAATACAAAGATTTCTTTTTAGTGTTGTTTTTTACGTGATTAGACCTTGTCAAGGGTGATAATAGATCAAGAGATTTATTTGAATGATTTTACATTATTAATTGTTAAATAATATCCTATCCGGTACGTGTTTTTAAATTATTTATCTATTATTTTGAATAATTATTTTCTATTTTCTATTAGCCGTTTACTGGATATAGCTAGTATAATTTAATACTAGTTGAAGAATATAGCCCATGGAGTATCTAGTTGTTTCCCATAAAATCATCAGTCTGGCGGTTAAATATCTTTTGCATACTTAGATTTTCTTTAACTGCATTTCATAAAGTAATTTTTGAATTTGTTTGAATTATAGTCCACGGGCCCACGTACAAAGAAAAAAATGATTACCAGCAAGCTGTAACTTTGCGTGTAGCTTAAGTTTGACGAGTCTCCCAAGATTTGACTACGAGGAAAATTCAACAGTGGTAAATTTTCCCGTGATTTTCAAGAAAACATGTCAATCTGGCATAGACATGGAATGTTATGACCAGCACTTTTTTTTTAGTTTAAATGAAAGATATATTCTTTTTAAACCCCCCAAAAAATTTGTCCGACAAATATGTTGGGTATTTTAAGTTTGTCCCCCACCCCAAATATGTCGATTTGGTGACATTATGGTTGGTGACAACCAGCAAGCTGATTTTTCTGGGAGGGTTTGGTAATAAAATAAGATTTGAAATGAAAGTAGCTCATTGTCCGACAAAATTCTTGAGAAGTTTTTGCAGTCCGACGCCCCGAAGTTGTCGATTTAACGACAACATGGTTGGTGATAACCAGTAATCTGGCTTTGATTTTTTTCTGTAATAATTGAAATGTATAACACAATAATATACTTGTCCGCCAAAAAGATTGGAAAGTTTGCCTTAAAAATGGGAAAAATAACTATTTTTGTGGTACATAATGT